CAAAGTTGGTGTACTTTCTTCTCAACAGCTGCACTGTTCTAACAGACATTTCATAATGCTGCGCTCATCACTCCAGCGTCGGCACTGTCTGTTCGTCCTGTAACGTGAGGAGGTTCACACAGGTTTGTCCAAACATTTGTTTAGATCATCGGCTTTAAGTTGGTGATTATTCACACAGGCAGCGGGATTAGAGTATGATTTTGGAAATATTTTCCATGCTTCAAAATTTACTCAATGAGACATCCGTGTTTGTGTGTGTATTCGTGTGCGTGTGTGCACATATGTTGGATAACAATGCAAGCTGCTATTTGTATCTAAGCCTCTTGCATTTACTGCGGCACAGGTGCAAGCTTCATACCACACCAGAATGTTTCTAGAATGAATCGTCTGGAAGCACAATGTTTACCCTCAAGCTATTTGAAAAATGCACTGGGAAAAGAAAAAAATGATTTAAAGAACTACTTAAAAAACTGGCAAACTGATATCACTTTGCTTCTGTTCTTATAATGCAGACATTATGCCACTCACTCACTCACTCACTCACCCTGGAGATGGTCAGGGGCTGGTTGAAGTCCTTTCCTCCTGTCAGACGAAAGCCCCAGGGGGCCGGCCCATCCAGCACCACGTTAAGTGGCATGACCCTTTAAAGTCTCCCTGCTGTTTTGACAGCAGCACAGACAGTAAACTGCACACTGTGGGGATCACAGTTAAAGAGCAGTGGAATATCAAAGTGATGGAGATTTTGAACCAAGTGAGGGGGTCAGGGGGAGGAGGATGGACAGCTCCCGCCCCGTGAGTGAGGTAATTGGTCAGATTTTGGGAACTGACTCTCAAGTCTGTACTAATTCTGTTTGAGCGTGTCTCGTTGCTTCTTTTACAGTACTCAGTCACTGCTTACCTAAATGAACTCGTGTCCACACACAGACTGAAGATGTAAACCAGCTTCTGTCAGAAGCCAGCCCCCACTAATGCTTCTCATCCCTGGGCAGCTCGAGGTCTGGCTGGCCTCCTCTTGCTCTGGTTGATGGGTCTTGCTGCTCCTGCCCTTATTTGGTCTGAAGGCAAAGCTTCTCTCTGAGGCCTTGGAGGTCTCACAGGCACATTCCAGTCACTATTGATTTGGAAGGGACCCAGGACTCTCACTCCTAGCCGAGCTTGATAACAATCCAGCTCTGACTTGAAGTTTTTTTTATTTTTTATTGTGTTTATAGCAGAAACCGGGCTTTGTCTACTCTATTAAACTGAGACATTTTTCATGTCTTTAAAGACTTCTTCTAGGCCAAAATCTGAATTCGCTCTTTGTGATCTCAGGAATTTATTTTTCAGCCAATACAGAATTTTCTTTGCTCCCCTTTCATATCTGTGTAGTACTATTAATAAGTTAAAATAAAAAATAAATAAAAACATCAAATGGTCCATGCCTGTGAGTAAGGCATACTAATCTGTGTCAACAGTGATAGCCATTTAGCCTGAGCAGGGAGCGGCTTCATCATGTAAATGTGCCATTATGAATCCACACCACAAACTCCGCCTTCGGCCTTGAAAACCCTTTCCCACTTGCAGTATTTCAGCGTGGATCAGATTCATGGTTTGTTTCTGTGGTTGCCATGACATGGAATCACTTGTGTTTCCACATTTCTTTCTCTCTGGACAGAATTAACAGGCCGTAACAGTAAGAGTACAGATCTAGGCATCCATTCTCTGTAACACCAAAACCATATTTAGCACACGTGTAGCGTTCAAGTACATAAGCATATAGGCATTATATGAACTTTATGTTTACCTTGCTTTACCTGAGGAATGGAACAGTTATATATGTCATGCAAGTTTAATGCAACATAGATCAGGACTGCTCTACTGGTTCAATGTGTGATGAAGCTTCAAAATCCACCAATAGCAACACAGTAACTCTGTAACTTCTGTCGGTGCTGTGCTTTTTTGGAAATCGAATTTCCCAGAGGAACCCACCTGAGGGATTAATAAAGTTCTATCTAATCTAATCTAATCTAGCGCTGTTGAACGTGACTGAAACCAGGACTCTGCTTGTTTGCAGACCCACTGAAAGAGCTCTCCTTATTTATCCTTTATTTATTCTTGTTTTCAAGTCTGCCTAGAGGAGCCGTGCATATGGTGGATTGTAGCCAGAGTGTCGTGACAAACTGCAGGGCACACGTTCCCCTCCTGATGGTGAAATTTACATCGCTTGGACTGAAGTGGACCTTCCACACTCACAGACACCAACTGCTGTTTCTTTGCTTCTTCGCAAAGAATTTGTGACCTTTTGCAAAAGTTTTGTTTGTAAGAAGAAAGAAATGTCCTTGTAGCTGAGAGCCAAAATACTGAGATGGTTTACTTGAACATGCAGCTGCCTTCTTATTGGCACACGACCGCCTTTTACTGCAGATTGGTTTCCTCTACTGGCTCCAAAAGAGAGTCAATCTCTGTCAACTCCTGTATTAAAAGATTGCCTCTGGGGTTGGGGATTCAGTTCAGTGATTTTACGTCACCTGAAGCAGAGATGGGCAGTAACGCGTTACTGTAATCCGATTACTTTTTTCAAGAAACGAGTAAAGTAAGGGATTACTATTGCAAAAACGGTAATTAGATTACCGTTACTTTCCCGTAGGAACGCTGCGTTACTGCGTTACTAAAACCGTGATTTTTTGCGAGAATGTCTCATGACAGTGACATAAGCGAGTGCGCCGTTAGTGACAACAGCTGTGTGCAGATCAACAATGGATCACATATCGATTGTGGGAGAGAGTATGAGCGTGTAGCGTTTAAAGCGTGGAAGTACTGACCTTACTTTGAGTTTGATTCCATAAAAAGTGACAAAAACATTATTGTCCGTTGTGCGTGGGAAGAAAACTTCTTTTTACAGCGAAAAAATCCCAAAACTTCCAAGCAAGCACCGAGTAGCTACGACGTAATGGGAAACTCACAGAGAAACTCGCGGATTCTTCAACTGACCGTGGCACACCTGCACCAGGGCAAACCTCCGCCTGCCGCAGTCCTGCTTTACAGGTGAAAATAGAGCAACAGGACCGCTGAGTCTTTGACTTTATTTATTTTCTGCTGTGTTTTACTTGCATCTATTTGAAAGAGTGAGTGTAAACACAATTTTTTTTTTATTTTATGTGCTGGAATGTGCAGAAAATAGGTTTAAATGTTAAACTAATTTATTCAAGTCAGAGAATGTTGCATATAATTAAATTTTTGCTTGATGCATAAAGTTAAAAGATTAAAACTGATAAAACAAGTTTTAAAAAGAGACTTTTCCATTTGATTACATTTTGTATGATGGATTATGCAGAAAAAGTAGAATTGGGCTGAAAGATCTATCGCTTTATCACCTATTCAGGTTGTAAATCGTGTTTTTAAAAAGTAACTAAGTAATTAATTACTTTTGAAAATAAGTAATCAGTAAAGTAACGGGATTACTTTTTTGAGGAAGTAATAAGTAATTAGTTACTGATTACTTTTTTCAAGTAACTTGACCAACACTGACCTGAAGTCAACTGGACTGAAATGGATGTTTGAATTCTTTTTGTGGCACTGACACCACAAACACTTGCCTGGTTGCAGGGAATGGAATTACGTGCCCTGCTTTGAGTTCCAGTCTACAAAATTTGTGTTTTTAGTCAGCTAGCACTAATTAGTAGGTACTCGTGTCCATCTAAATCATATGTCCTACCTTAGCTAGGGCAGGCAACAATAAAATAATTCAAGTCTGAGAGGGAGCGACCCGCCTCCAGCTACTCTGGGCTCTGTTTTCTGGTTTAAAAAACAAAAGAAAAAGCATCCGACACAAGATTTCTCCAACCACAGGGCTTTTCACCGGTTATACATTGGTAGTTTCCAGTAGTCGTGTATACGTTGTAGCAGTTTACTGTCACCAGGGGGCGGTGTCCATGACAATCGGTCTGTTGGTCCTTTAGCGCGTCTACTGAGAATAGGGCTGAAGTAATAATAGACAAAGACCTTCTTAGTAGTGAAGTGAAACCAAGTGTTAAAAACGGTTTAAACGGTTGTTCTCTGCAGGTGCTTCCTTTGCTTTTCGTGCTGCTCTTTTGATGTTTTACGTTTTAATGAAGGGGGAAAAACCCTTCATGCTGAATTCTGACGTTACTCGCTTTCGTATTCCAGCCCACATTTCTATCAATCAGCTTTCAACCTATGCTTAATGTGAGCACCTAAGAACATCTGTGTAGGTTGTATACCCAGAACTTTTCACTCTGTTCAGTCCAATACCGATGCAAACCGCTTTGCAGTTTTTAAATTCTGCTTGACGTCAAAAGTGAACATTAATTCACGCGTGTGTCCTGTGACCTTCTGGTAGGAGAGGATTTATGCCAGGGATTTCTAGATTTCTGCCTATGGCACCTGAGATTTTCATTTCAGGTGGATGACATAATCTTTTTCTGTTGAGCTGAAAGAAAAAAAATTGTTGGAATATTTGATCTACCAGCTGGATTTTATTAGCAATACAGCCCCTTAAAATCATCCAACAAGTCCTACAAGAAATACTCAGGTCCAAGAGTGTGCATTGAGTTCAATAATAACATGAATAACATAAGATTTACACCTTCATACACGTATAAACATATCAGCAATCAAATTCATCTCCTTGCTTCGAATTTGTTCTTACGCTCGTATCAAAGGCAGGCAGAGGGCCTAACGTTTAAACACTGAACACTTTGTATGTTCTCTGCACACTTTCATACACTTTCTAAACTACATATGCATAAATTATTCTTTTTGTTTTTGCATCACAGGTTTACATATACATGGCTATTAAATTAGTGAGCTGGATTTAAGGCAGCGATCACCAACTCTACTCGGTCTACCTACAGTAAATTCACTTTAAATACCCCACCAACGTAAAAACGACGAACTGGAGCAAAGAAAATCCTACGAGCCCGGCTACACGAGACGTTCTCAGAAGAATGCGGGTTAGCACCACTGATGATGCGAAATGGAAAGAAAGAGGAAACCAAACGTGATGGTGGATGAGAAAAAGCCGACTTTATAAAGCAAGTGGATGTTGGCCATTTTACAGCTCACATACAAAAACAAAAAAAGGCTTACAAAAACACGACACGCTCACACTCGCACACAGTGAACTCACGCCGGCTGAAATGGTGAATGACAGAGAGTGACGTGAAGGACAGTGAATGATAAAATATTTTAAGGTGCTTTTACATCGTTTTGTTGTCAGTGTCCATTCTTTGTGAAGAAAACAAAACAGAGATCAGTTACTGAGAACGACACGCTAAGATGGAAATTGCCAATCATTTCACAACAGTACAAACATGAGTAATGACACACTACCCACTCACTCTGACAACAGCTATAAAAGATCCAACAGCAGTTCTGTGATTTCCAAAGGTTTTCAAAATTCCCGTCCTGTATCTGACTTAAATAAATTCATCATAAAACAACAGTAAGTTCTTTTTAGCCCATTAACCATTGTGTTTTTGTTTTTCTGTAATCACTCAGAACCTGGACTTTGAATAATGATGACCATAAAATAACAATCATTCAAATGTAAGTTAGGTACTGTTAAAATATGCTTAAAAAAAATCCCAAAAAAAACAATGTGGTGCTCCGTTCTTTCTAAAAATCATCGTATAACACAGTGAGACCAGCCTTCGTCTTCTAATAAATATAATACCTAAAAAAAGGTCAGTAACCTTTCTGCATACACTTTCAACACACTCCTCTCCCCCGAAGCCAGGCGCAGTCAAAATGACCTCTGCTGTGTAAAATCTGAAGTGAGGTTAAAAAAAGAAACCAAAGAGATTGTTTGTGATCAAGTTCAGTAAAAGTGCTTCAATTCTAACGTGAAAATAACTGAACAGCAACAACGTGTTTACTAATCTGGAGCTAAGTCTGTGATAGTGTTTTTCTTCACGTCTGCAGTATTTAAACTTATTGTTCATTTTATTAAATAATATCCCCCAAAGTAAAACAAAAAAACATTTGCTGAACCATCCTTTTACCTGGCATGATGATGCAACACGTTGGCTCCTAATTTGCCAAAACACATCTGGCCTCTGACACAATACTGCTTTCCTTTAACACTCTCTGCACTAAATCTTTGTGGAGACATCTGTAAATAAACACTGAAGTTAACTATAAGTGATTTAAATTTTGAGTTACTGGAGAAAAAAAAAGGTATTCTTGGTGATCTTAATGTCCTTAAACAACTGAAAAAGAAAGGAAAGCATCACTGCAGATATACTTCCGTTATTGTCAAAAGTCAAAGGTCACTGGGTGCAGCACAAATCTTCGGTTCTCCATAATAGAAAAATAAGGGTAAAAAGATAAGTTTAAAAAATGCGTTATTACTTTATAGAAGTCTTCCATTAAAGATGGCTAGTTAGAGCTAAGTATTTTGTCTGTGTGAAGCTGACAAGCCACACACATACACGCAAACACAAACGTGTGCTGCAGGTCTTTGTTGATGTCCTGCGGGTGCTGTGCTGAGGAGGGCGATGAACGGGTCATAGAAAGGGGCGGGGTCAGCGGGAGTTTGGAATCATTATAGCTGCTTCACGTAGTTTCCTGGGAAGGTTCCAAACAACTTGCTCCTTCGAGAGGTCCCTTCACAAACACAGAACAATGAAAGGAAACTGTCAGGGCTGAAACACGACTATGGCACAAATGTCAGCTGTAGTCTAGAAATCTGCCAACTGTGGAGATTCAGAACTACACCAACATTTAAGCAAGTTTCATTTTTGAAAAACAAAGAAATGACACTTAATCTGTGCTCAGCTGTGAGGGATATGGTTGTTTTGTCTTCTCCCACAGTCAGTGCTGAAGCCACACTGACATCTAGTGGTGTGTCTAGTTTTTCTACATTTTTATGCTTTAGTTTTCCTCTATTTTTTAGAAGGTTTTAGGTCGTGTTTGTCTTTACACCCTGACTTTAGACATTAAATTAAGGAGGGGGTCCAAAGTTGGTGTTCTCAAATCACATTAATTTCATGGTCCATTCGGTCCATTGTAACTGACTAAACCTTTAACTCATACATTAGTAATGGTTAAAAATCTAGAAACCAGCACAAACACAACAGGAAAAAATAACAAACAAAAGCACAAAATGCACTGTATAAAGTGTAAAAGTTCCTTGAGATAAATTCTGTGATTTTTGTGAGTATCTATAAAATTATATCGATTTTTTTGATATATACAGTGGTGGACAGAGTTATCAAATTCCTAATTTAACTGAAAGTAGTTCAGCACTTTATTGGAGTCATTATCAAGTTAAACATTGACTGTATTTATTTTCTGCATTCTTCCTGCTTATTCAGTCAGTGCGCTCATTTCTGCTTCATTTATTATGACAATTATCGACGTCTTGCTGGTACTTCCTTAATTCTTTGTGCCACAGATTGAACAAAGTGCTGTGGAAACATTCCTCAGAGATTCCAATCCACATTGGCACAATGACATCAACAACCTGCATGCTGCAGCAGAAATCATTTTTTCAATCTTCTGATGTCCAATTTTTCTGAGCCCATGTAAATGGTAGCATCGGTTTCCTGTTTTTAGTTCACAGGAGTGGGTCCCTGTATGGTCTTCTGCTGCTCTTTGTATTCAGAGATGCTCTTCTGCATAACTTGATTATAATGAGTGGTTATTTTAGTTACTGCTGACCTCCTATTAGTTGGAAACAGTCTGGCCATTTTCTATTTTTCAGGCTGTTCTGCAGAGATGGTTATTTGGGAAAATCCTGTACATTTTCATCAGGTCCTCCTGATCATTACTACATGCCTAAATTCATTGAGATGCTGCCATGTGACTGGATGATTGGATTTTATACATTTCTAGAAGAGGCAGGCAAGTGTAACAATATAATTCTACTACTTTATACACTTATATAGTGATAAACTCACTTTTAGTTCATCATGTGTTTGGCTCAATGCATTTTGTATTTCTATCTCTATTACTTTTGTTGGCTGATGCCTGTTCATCTTACCAACAAACCAGCCATCATCGCACTTCTCCATCACATCAACGACGTCTCCCTCCCGCAGCTCCAGCTCATCCTCATTGCGAGGCATGTAGTTGTACAGCGCCTGGTACCTGGGTTGGAAAAGATTTGATTTTTATTCTTTGGCAAGTATTTCTTCACTATTAAGCAGAGATGGGCAGTAACGCGTAATCTGATTACTTTTTTCAAGTAACGAGTAAAGTAAGGGATTACTATTGCAAAAACGGTAATTAGATTACAGTTACTTTCCCGTAGGAACGCTGCGTTACTAAAACCGTGATTTTTTGCGAGAATGTCTCACGACAGTGACGTAAGCGAGTGCGCCGTTAGTGACAACAGCTGTGTGCAGATCAACAATGGATCACATATCGATTGTGGGAGAGAGTATGAGCGTGCAGCGTTTAAAGCGTGGAAGTACTGACCTTACTTTGAGTTTGATTCCATAAAAAGTGACAAAAACATTAGCGTCCATCGTGCGTGGGAAGAAAAATTCTTTTTACAGCGAAAAAAACCCCAAAACTTCCAAGCAAGCACCGAGTAGCTACGACGTAATGGGAAACTCACAGAGAAACTCGCGGATTCTTCAACTGACCGCGGCACACCTGCACCAGGGTAAACCTCCGCCTAACCCACTCCTGCTTTACAGGTGAAAATAGAGCAACAGGACCGCTGAGTCTTTGACTTTATTTATTTCCTGCTGTGTTTTACTTGCATCTATTTGAAAGAGTGAGTGTAAACACAAATTATTTTTTATTTTATGTGCTGGAATGTGTCAAAAATAGGTTTAAATGTTAAACTAATTCAACTCAGAGAATGTTGCATATAATTAAATTTTTGCTTGATGCATAAAGTTAAAAGATTAAAACTGATAAAACAAGTTTAAAAAAGAGACTTTTCCATTTGATTACATTTTGTATGATGGATTATGCAGAAAAAGTAGAATTGGGCTGAAAGATCTATCGCTTTATCACCTATTCAGGTTGTAAATCGGGTTTTTAAAAAGTAACTAAGTAACTAAGTAATTAATTACTTTTGAAAATAAGTAATCAGTAAAGTAACGGGATTACTTTTTTGTCGAAGTAATCAGTAATTAGTTACTGATTACTTTTTTCAAGTAACTTGACCAACACTGCAGTTAAGTACAGCTAATTTAAACTGGATGGGTGCAGTTGTTTTGATTACAGTTAATGCCACACACACACACACACACACACACACACACACACACGCCTTTTAAAGCACAGAGAAAGATGTTAATAGCAATTCAAAAAAAAATTAAAATCATACTACTTACGGGTCTCCTCCACCGTGGAGTGCATCTTGTACTGACCGCTGAGTTTTAGAGACAAAGAGAGAAACACAAATGATTAACACAAATTTGTGTTTTGCCATTTGTGGAGCTTTTGTTTAGTGTTTGAGGAGAAAAGATTTTAGCAAGTTTTTTTGCTCTAAGATACTTTTGATTTTTATCTTCTCACAAAGTGAAATTATAAATCATCATATGACAAAAGAACAAAAAGAAATGAACCAAAAAAAGCATACTGTAGCACGTTATCAGTCATGAATGATATGGTTATTCCCAACATCTCCCTCCTGCACAGAGACAGGAGTGCACTATGAGCATGGTTGAATGAAGACATGCCCCCCTACCCTTCGACCTCTAACGGGTGACAGATAGGACCTCCGGGACAAGATGGGGCTACGAGGGGGTTTACCACCAACAATTGGATCCTGCTTAACAGGCAGAAAGACCAGAAGCAACACACCTATAATCTTTAACAGTAACCAACAGCAACCTCGACTCTGAGCTCTGCACACAGACAGAGAGTCTAAAGACATGCTGTAAAACATCATCAACATGCTGATGCCAATAAAAAGCCTCCTAATCACAACACAGTACAGTTACAGCTCACAACTCTATTAACAGTTATTCAAGCATGTATTCTGCTGCCTCTAAAATCATCAGCTGGGTACTTACATGTTAATATAATGAGAATTAGTGCCTGAAACTAACAGTACTGCTTGCATTGCATCTATAAATCTGATTATAAATTGTAATTAATCTTTGATATATATAACCAATCAGTTACTTCTCAATTCAGTTCACGTCTTAGTAGTTAGAGAAATACACTATTATGAGAGTTCTTATCATCCTCATCACCACAAATCAACGGCATACTCGTTACATGCCAGCTTTACCTTCACCTTAGGCGACCTACGTCCTTGATGTGGTACAGTTGGGGCAGTGGGGGGACAGCGCTGAGTGGAGGGTGGAGGGGCAATGTTAGCGGGAGGAAGGGGAAAATTTGGCTCTGAGATGGGACATGTCGTGACCGGACTAGAAAGAAAAGGAGAGCTTGAGGGGTGAGAGACAGACCGCTGAGAGGGATCGTCTGGAGGGAAGTGGAGGGGAGGTGGTGAGACAGATGGAGAAATTGGAGGCAGCAGTGACGTTGTGAGCTGAGGAAGGGACGGAGGACGAGGGGAGGCATGGTCACAGGAAGGGACGATACTACGATTGTGCTGCTGTTGTGTGTGGGAGAAAGAGGATGAAGGGCAAGCAGAGGAAAAAGAAGTGGAAAGCAGGGAGGTCACAGGGGGTGGTGTGGAGGGGGAGGAGGGACCATTGTGGGGAAACTGAGTAGATGGAGACACTTCAGCCTACGGGGTAAAGACACACATGTGAATACTCAAGTGTAATCACGGGATGAGCTGTTCTGTTTGTGATTTACTAAACCCCAGACGGGACATGGAGGAAAGTATAATTAATATATATATATATATATATATATATATATATATATATATATATATATATATATATATATATATATATATATATATATATAACAAAAAAAAACAAAACAATCTTGTGATAAGTATCCTAATTAACAAAAATATATCCACTAGTTTCCACTGAGTATGAGATGTTTCCAAAAAATCTTGTGATCAGTGTTGAATGGAAATAAGAACACAAGTCTATAATGCGCCCTAGACTAGACTAGATAACAATAATAAAAATAATGTATTATTTTTTAAATCAGATGCCAAAAATAACACAATTTTTAAAAAAACTGGAAAGAGAACTCAAGTGCCTCTTGAACACTAAATACACCCCCCCACCCCAAAAAAACAAACAAACAAAAAAAAAAACAACCCTGGGTGTACTGCACCTACAGGAGCTGCTCGGCCATGGAAACCAATGCCAAGAAGCTCCTGGTGAACAGTTTCTATGCTGATGTTAATGCCAGAAGAGGTTTGGAGCTCTGCAGTTAATGAGTCAGCATAGTGCTAGCGACTTATACGCACTATGCGCCTCAGCATTTTGCAGTCGCGCAGCAGGAGATGGGAGAAAACAAAACAAAACATAAAAAAAGGACGATGGGACACACTTGCTAATTTTGGCGGGGAATGACATCATACAGTATATTAACTTAATTCCTCAATGTCCCTTCTAAGGCCCTATAGCATTTCCAAACTCAACAGATGTAGTGCACACCATGCTGTACCTGTGGGCTGTGCATCTGATTTAAAACTCTAACATCCTGCTCTTTCTCACTTCTAGCTTCATCGTCTTCTTCAATGAACAACTCAGTGTATTCCTTTGCTTGTACTGACGGTGGTCTATGTGAGTCAAAACGTTGCCCATTCACATTTTTTGACTGCTCTCCCCACGAAACACATAGGGGCTCCATTGTTACAGGCTTGTGAAGCTGCACTGCTAACTGAAAGCTGCCTGTTGAGTTGCTTGCAGGAGTGACCGCTGGGGGCTTTACGTCCGACTGATGGGATTCTTCCGCTTTTAATGGGAAGAGCCTGCTTTGGGACGTTTTGGTCAGCTTAGCTGCTGAAGAATCTACTGGAGATGATCTCAAAACATCACCATCATCTGTGCTGCTGGAACCATCCAAAAACATGCACAACAGCTCATCATAAGGGTCTTTGACTTGCAGTTTAGTGTCTGGGGTTTCCCTGCTTTTGTTTACTCGTACTGTGGATTTGTGCTCTTGTGCAGGAGGTGTGGCTGATTTTATCGGCTCTGATAAAACCTCAGGCGTAGTAATTCCTAAGTTTGAGTCTTCCTCAGTGATATGCAGTCCTCTGCCACAGTTATATTGAAATGAAGAGTCAGGCAGTGGAGAGGTTAATGAGAAATGGGGGTCTGGAGGAGGAGGAGTAGGGGGGGAGATGGGTGAGACAGCTGTGGTGTGACCTAAACTGAGGTTTGCGTCTTTAAAAGTGGGCGTTCTGGAAAATTCTTTGCAGGCTGTGGTTGCTAGGGATGACAAGGTGAAACTTTTTTGTGGCTGTGCAGATGAGAGTGCTTTGGGCTCTTGAGCCTTTAGGAGAGATGCAAGGTCAGAGGGGAGAGGAGGCGGTGTGGGCGGCAGAGGGGTGTTCGTGAGGGAGCGAGCTTGAGTGGATGCTGACGGCTCCACTGTGAGGGACAGCCACTCGGTGGTGATGGCTTGCAGGTCAAGGCTTCTCAAAGAGGGGTGAGGGGAGGGGGGTTTGTGGGTGGTGGGTGGTGGAGGTGGATGATAGAAAGGCTCCATGAAAATAAAGCAAAAAAAGAAGGAACAGTGGGTGATTTATGAAACTAGAACAGAGACGTGCTGTGTGTTTTTATGTACGTTTTGACTCTTCAAGGTAGAACAGAAGACTTACTATAGTTAAAGTATTCACTAATTACTAGACTACCGTTACACCAGAGGGAAGTTTTGGATCTTTATTTTCTTTTTATTTGGGGTGCAAGTTGATAACCAACAGCTTTTTTTAAGATGAAGAAATACCCCCCAAAATCACATCTTAATGAATTTATGAAGCCCCTGAAAGAGATGCATTATTTACATTATTGCACTGTCATACAGTCAAGTAAAGTTTATTTATAGAGCGCATTTGAAAATAAACAGTGTCCTCTGTAATAAACTTTGACTATACATACATCCCATACAACTGTGAGGAAAACTGCATAAAACAGGAAATAAAGAGACCATCACACAAACACGTGATTTTAAACAGTAACAATGTAATTTAACAATAATTAGGCTCTGATTACTTATAACTTTGATAAAATAAATAATAAAAGCCAAGTTCAAGTATAATTTAATCAATATCTTCAAGGCACAAATCTGATCTGAAGTTGCTCTATTGTTTTTTGTGGCTTGACGAGTAAGCAGGCTCTAGACTCTCTTACCTTGACGGGTGTGGAGCTTGGTGTCCTGTTGCTGGGGTAACCATGTGGATCTATGTGATGGGCGGAGCTTTTGGATGGAGATCGCTTGACAAGGTCAACGTAGGACACAGGAAAGATCCCCTGTTTGGTTGTGTCTGGGATTTTCCCCTCATACCAATTCTGATCCACCTGCCTTATCACAATCACTCTCTCACCCTGCACACATCAGACACACCAACAACACACAAACAAGGCACTTAGCTGCAAATCAGGAACGGTGGAATGAACAGGACCCCACAGCAGGTCCTCTCACACTTACTTAAACCACAATGTGGCTTTTTTCCCCATGTCATTTTACATCATTTTGTCCCACTCTTCTTAACGGCGTTGCTTCAGTTCTTTGTCATCAATTTATGCGCATATCATTATGCACTTTCTTGCTTTTGACTCAATCATTGTAACACATCGATTCTTTTCTTTTTCAGCCTTTATGTTATAAATTTGCTGCTGTGCTTGAGATCATTGTCCTGTTGCATGGCTCAGTTTTGGCCAAGCTTTAGGCCTCAAATCTGATATGAATAGAGGAATTTATACAATATGTCTGCTTTATCAAACTGCATTTGATTAGAAGTTCCTTCCTATGGAACAGAGAATACCGGGAATTTAGTTCTTCAGAGGACTGCATTTTTTTTTACTACAATTTAGTAACATCTTTACCTTTAGATATAACTGCAAAAGCCAGCACTTCAAATATTTAAATCAATGACAAAAACATTATAAACATGCTTTAAGTTGAAATACCTTTCTCAGTGACAACTCCACGTTAGTATCAGCGTTAAAGTTGTAGCGGGCCACTGCCTCTCCAATCTCTCTGACATGTGCTGGAGGAGGAGGACGGATTGGCTGCTGCTTCTCTGAAGATGGCATCTTCTGTAAATGTGTGAAAAATGGTGTAAACCTGTATGCGTGTCATGTTGGAGGAGATGCATATTCAAATACAACCAAGCCATATTCAGACCAGAAATCAGCAGCCGACTTACCTCTACATATGCTATAGGGAATATTCCCACTCGCCCACGGTGTTCTCCTTCATACCAGTTGTTATCTATCTGCCTGATGATGTTCACTGCATCACCCTTTTTAAATGTCAGCTCCCTGTAACACAGTTTTATGAGTGAAGGGCCTCTGCATGCATCTTTCATCCACTGCATGGACATAACATAGCAGCTGAACAAGACACGGCGACTTCTGCAGCACGAGCATCGGTGACAAAATGTCAGCCAGGAAAGCAAAATAATATAAGTAATAAGAGCAAAATAATAAGAGACAGCAATGCAGAAAGCAGCTTTATTCATGCATACATCTAAAAGAAAAAAACCCCCCATCAGATTATGGTGGTAAGGTGTTATACTGGTATACATGAAAGCAATATTACAACTACAAAATGTAAATAAAGGACATTGAGTTTGCTGACGTGCAGTTAGATGTCTGCGTTCTTAGACTCGGCTCTCTCACGCGTGCACTCTAAGCTTGTTGTACTCACTTGCTCGTTTGTGCCTTAAAATCATAAATGGCTCTTGCAGGTTGTTTCTGATGGAGGAGAGAGAACAGAATAAGTTGTGTCATCTGTTTATGGGAGACCTAAAAGAGTGGAGTGAGAGAAAGAAAGCCCACAAGCATTACCAGGTATATGAAACACGTATGTAACATAATTATTTTGAATTTTTAAGAATAAATATAAATATCAATGTGCTACAGAACTGGGAAATTAAAGACAAAGATGTTACCCTTTTGAGCACATTGATTACATGTTATTTGAGAGAAATGCACCGTGTATAAATGTGTTAAGTGCACCACCAGTTCCAATGTTGTACCTCTCTGTCAGGAGTGGGTCTTCTGTTCTGGGGTGTGTGGCGTCCATCCAGTGTGGAACTCCTGGAGATGTCCTGGTCTGTGATTAGCAGAGACACATGAAAAGGTTCACAGGAGTTACTAAGCGAACATGCCACATCACCTACAATACAAAGTGTGATCTGGGAAACAGTGATGATGCCACTCAAACAGGTAAATGAGGGAATGGAAGCTTGGGTCATAAACAGGTGTGTTTTATTTGTTTTTCATTGGAGAAAACAAGGTGATTGGACAACAGCACAAATAGACACATGCGATGCTACAAAATACCCGGAAAACAAAATGAAACACGGGGAATACAGAGCAAAAAAATATGGCAAACAACAAAAACGTAGGATCAAAAGGATTACGGGAAAGAAAATGACCTGGTAATAATGCGATAACTATAAATAAATGTTTGAAACAGACGAATGATACAAGAAAAACAAAATGCATTAAAAAAAAAAAAAAGGAACATTCACAACAATTTAGCCCTAACATCAACCTTGTCTCTTAGAAGTTATATTTCTTTACAAATAAACTGAAATAACAAATACGGTTTGAAGGAAACTGTAACCAGATTATTATTTCTTACTCTGAACATGAAAGTAGATTTTTTGAACACATTCACTGACAACACATTTAAAACAAAAGTGTTTGATCAATATCCACCTGAAGTAACTACACATCCTGTTCTGTTTTGTGATTTGAGGTTTAGACACTGCCTAAACCCAACTATAAATTCAAGTCTACACGTAAACCTCGGCTTCTGGTGAGAGAATTCAATTCTTTGTATAGCCAAACTCCAAAATCCAGTTAATGACTCGTTCATTAGGAGCCTAAAAGTAAGGTGTAAAGAAATATTACATCTTTGAGACAGGATTACAGAGCAATATACTGTAAATTCTCAAATATCTGTCTTCCAAAATTGCAGAAAACAAAGCCAGCATCTGAAACAATCCCTCTCCTGTTTCAAACCCTTTTCATCAGTGCTAAAACAGACTTATTATACTTGGACCATGTTATTTGTATCCCTCACTGTACTTTTGTACTATTTCACTGTAATAGTTCAGCTTCTCCACTGTTTTCTTCATCTGTTCATTGAGGATCTGCCAATAAAACTCCACATTCTGTGCAGTGTTTCAAATTAAAGCAGAAGCACTGTCCTCTTATTTTACTAAAAAAATAGCAGGAAGCTTCACTCACATTAACTTAACAAAATAAACAAATAGCCAGATTTGTCTCGAGAATTTACAGTAAATGGGTCTTAATCAATGCCATACAATTAAACAGAAAAGCATGGTAATGGAAGTGTCGGCAGATCAATGAGGAGAACTGGGCAACGAGTGCAGACAAAACTGAAAGAGACACTGAGATAAATGTAAGTGGATGTATATGTGCCTTCGTGTATTTATGCTTGTATGCATGCATGTATTTGTTGTGAAACGACACTCATGTCAAGTGACTGCGAAGTGTAGTGTGTATCTGAGGTGTTACATGTGTGTTATTTCCACCTGAGTAACAGAGACCATTTCCATTGCCCTGCTCCTCTCCATAATCATTGTTGTTTGAGGTCTCCAACTGTCGTCCATAACAGGCACTGATTGGTGACTGTATCCGTGGTGACTGTAACCGTGGTGTTGAGGGCTCTCCTCTATATGAGGCATACCCAGTGGGGCTACTGTCTGGGTACAACGATGCAGAGGAGTGACCGCCGTGCCAACACCCCCTCCTTCCCCGCAACGAGGAGCTGCGTTCTGGCACATTTGGCAGCAGTTCTGCCAAGATTCTTCTCAGGATGCTATCATCAGGTGCCCGAGGGTTTCTGTGGCCTCTCTCTGCTTGAATGTGCTCATATATGTCTCTCAAAGCTGCATCTAGCGCTTCGTAAATTGCCTGTTTAGACTTGGGTCTGCTACCTCGACCTCCGCCCCCACTGCATCTTCTAGAGGTAGGTGGTGAGCCCTTTTTCCTGCGGAAAGGCACTGGACTGACCAGGAAGGCCAGCTTGGACATCGATTGCTGGGATTGTGAGCTCTGGTTTTGGGAATGGCTGCTGCGGGTCTGCTGTGAAGGTCTCTGGTGCTCCTGTCGCGCGCGTTCCCGCTCATGACGTATCATGGTTGTGAAACGGGTATATGAAGCCGGGCAGCGGCCTTTGCAGGTGCTGATGAGATGGCGGTGTTGGTAGCCTTGGCTCTGACCAAGACTCTGGTGACCAGGATGATGGTGGTGATGGTGGTGGTGGTGACGGAGGTGGTGGTGATGGTGGTGGAGGGTGGAAGAGCCGTATAGGCTCTCAGAGGAGGTTAGTGAGCAATGGTCAAAGTCACTCTCACTGCAAAATGACGAGCCTTCAACCTGAATGAAGTCACTGAGGTCAGAGGCAACAGCGTCTTGTTCACTGTCAGAATAGTCTGGGTTGGCTTGGGGGCCTTGGAGAACAGGAGGAGCGGGGAAGGACCGTCCACGCCCGGGGTCTGGTCCAACACGAGGCTGTCCCTCAGGGGGGCTACGAGGTCGGTGTAAGTGATCCATGGTTTGAGGTACTGTTCCACTGTTTCCATTGTTGTCTTCTTCCAGTAAAGACTCTATTGAAAAACGGCGTTTTGGATAACTGGGTGTGACACCACCACCACTGCTAGCTCGAGATGATGAGCCACCTGGTGTGGTGGTGCCTGAAGGCACCTCGCCATCACCCAAGTTAGGCATGGATTTGGATTTCTGAATAAGACGCTCATATTCAGAAATGCGGTTTGGCACCATATCACGTGGCACTTCCACACCCCAGGAGGGTGTCCAAGGAGAGAGGCGATGCCGAAGCAGATGAGGCTGACGCTCTAGATCCAGGATGCGCGCACGGACCGACCGGATGACTTCAGATGGAATTAGCTGAGCTCTGTCGATCTGGTGCATCTTTCGATAGAGCTGGAGAAAGCCCGGCGAGTCGTGTGCTCGTCGTCGATGGAGACGGGGTAATGAACGAGTAGATGATGATACTGTGGAGAGATTTCCATCGCATACCAGTGACCCAGCACTCTCTGAGCGGGTAGCATTTCGTCCACCCGAGCTAGAACGCCCATCGTTGAGTAGGTCATCACAACTGCGTGACTTTAGCTTGGCAGGAGAAGCTGGCGCTTCCTCTGCACTGCTCCACGTCTCAGCATTCTGGCGTTTTGTCTGCCAGCTGTTCTTACAACAGACAGACTGTTTGGAGGAAGAGCTGCCATCTTGGCTGCCATCCTCATTTGAATTGAGAGGGTCAGATGGGACTGGGGGAACAAAGGGCTGCTGATAAGGACCTGGAGAGGTCAAACTGTTTGAATACATGCTGCATGCGTCCCCACCTTTTAGATGTCCAATAGAGAGCAGCGTGGTGAGAGAGAAGAAGGAGGAAAGCAAGTTAAGAAATAATACCCAGCAAAACAGTAGAAGAGCTGGGGAGAGGGAGAATAAACAGGAGAGAAGAATGGATGGAAAAAACAGATGACTTGATGTTCTTTTTTTTTTTCCTTCAGACTTCCACCAATCAGTGAACTTTAAGGTTTATACCAGAAAGGCATCATATTGCAAAAAACCCAACAAAATCATATAAGCACAGTTCACATGCATGTGTTGGGAAAAGAAGGGAAAACAAACACAACCTGACCTAGGGTGAGCCTTTGGTGGCTAAACAGTAATGGTAACTTTCTTCTGGATTTGCCAAACAGCAAAATACAAAAAAATATCTCTTTTCATGAAATACCCAGAAGTGAAAGAAGCTTCATCTGTGAAAGCGTGGCTACCTTTGGCTCTGGAGGGTGAGGATGGTGAGGAACGAATGACGGGTTTCTTTAGGCTGCTGCTGGGTCTGTAGGCATCCACTGGTTTAGGGGAAGTTGCAGCTCGGCTCTGAGATGGAGCATTCACTTGGGAGCTTGACGGCTCAGACTTCCTTCTCTTCCTGTAGTCACTGGCAGCACTACAATAAAGAATGGGCCAAACAGTCAGTGAATCCAGTTTGCAGAAGGCGAATACAGACACTATAAATCTCCTGTGGGAGCACTGTTTATTTACCAAAGTCATGAGTAGTTGAATTGACAACAGGCAAAAAATAAATAAATTAAAAGTAACCCAGTAGTTTTAAGAAATAACCTCTTTTGTAAGAAATGATGCTACTGACAAAAGGAGATGTTAAATTTACATAGAATATGTCTGTGAAGGTTCTCAGTCATCCAGGTCATCATAGTCAAAGGAGCTTGCAAAGAAAAGTGTCTGGACTTCTTTAAGTTGCTTGAAGACGTTTCACCTCTCATCCGAGAAGCTTCTTCAGTTCTAAGGTCAAATGGTGGAGAGTCCCAGATATAAACCTAGTGGGAGTAACCCCCCACAGAGGGACAAAAGGACCCCCTGATGATCCTCTAATCGCCTGAGCCAGAGTTTCGGGTGTGTTCATTGTGAAACCTGGCCCCACCTTATCATGCGAATCATGCGAATTCCTGAGGTCAGATGGCCCAGGATGTGAGTGGGCGTTAAGGCGTCTGGGAAGGGATCTCAAAACTGGATTATAGATGGCAGAGAGTTGGTGTCGTAAACCCCCGCCTCTGTTCAAAGATGGTCGCTCACAGTGGACATAGATGGCTTCTTTCACTCCTCTTTCAAACCATCTGTCCTCTCTGTCCAAAATGTGAACATTGGCATCCTCGAAAGAGTGACCTTTATCCTTAAGATGCAGATGGACTGCTGAGTCTTGTCCTGTGGAGGTGGCTCTTCTGTGTTGTGCCATGTGCTTGTGAAGTGGCTGTTTGGTCTCTCCAATGTAGAGGTCTGAGCATTCCTCGCTGCACTGTACAGCATACACCACATTGTTAAGTCTGTGTTTTGGCGTTTTGTCTTTCGGGTGAACCAGTTTTTGTCTGAGCGTGTTACTGGGTCTGAAATGCACCGGGGTGTCATGCTTGGAGAAAACTCTCCTGAGTTTTTCTGATACACCGGCTACATAGGGGATGACAATGTTGTTGCGTCTGTCCTTCTTATCCTCCCTCGCTGGTGTCTGGTCTTCTTTTCTGTGCCTCTTTGCTGACTTTAAGAAGAAGAAGGCCCGAAGAAGGCCACTGAAGAAGCTTCTCGGATGAGTAGTGAAACGTCTTCAAGCAACTTAAAGAAGTCCAGACGCTTTTCTTTGCAAGCTCCTTTGACTTTACATAGAATACTTTATAGGTTTTATATATTGAGAGAATGTTAAAATCACTATGATCAATATGAAAACCTTGAATACATTTCTAGTATATCTAAGATCATCATACAAAGTACCAGATTATACTTAAATCCAAAAACAAAACAAAGGGAATAAAGTAACTTGAGTTTTAAATGTTAAAAATCCAAGGGGGCTTTCTGTTCAGGACAGTTAAATAAATGACCCGGCCTATTCATCACATCCCCGCTCTGCCCTCTCTCTTCACAGAGTATAATGCATCTGAATAAGCAGGCCATTGATGAAAGGGAGTGGGATGAGGGGAGGAATGGGGGTTGAGGGAAGGACAGGAGGTGAAGAGCAGCATCAATAGGTTTGCTGGGTTCATTTATTCTGGCTCAGCTCGTGGGAAAAAAAAAAAAAACGAGGCAAAGCGCCCTACCATCAGTGACAAAAGCAAAATTAAGACTTCACAAGTCATCATTTACTGCACACGCACGAGATGTTTGTGCGAGCGACAATATGAGAAAGACCTTAGTTTTTCTACTGAGCTGAATCACAACACGGACAGCTGCTGGTGAAAGGATGGGGGAGGGGGAAGAGGGGATGAGGGTGATGCAGAGGAAAATAAAAGAAGCAGCAGTTACCTTGCAGGTCTCTCTGGAGCCTTGTCAGCAGGAGTGATGTGGAGGGATGTCTGGAATAGGGCAGACAACAAAAGAGAAAAGTGAGCCCCGCAGGAACAAAGACTTGAGGCAGAGCAGCTTACAATACACAGCCTGCATGCGGTTGTTGCTGTGCCACACTCAAAACACTCCCCCAGCGTAAGGCGCAATGGATGCTGGTTCCACATGGCACACCTGACCAAGAAGAGGCCCTGCTGGTGCACACATACCGAAGACAAATTTCTGGTCTCTGTCGTGCTGCTCTGAAGGATGATGGAAAAGGTGATGCACTGAAGGGTGTTATGGAGGTTCAGCTCAGGGGGGCAAATGTTACCCTGCAAAAACTGGCATGGATCAGCTGGAATGGGTCTTAGTGGTATAGAGTGTTCAACGCTGATGACAAAAGTAGGGAAATCAACAGCATCGATTGCAATCACATTTATACTGGGATAAATGTGTGATTACCCTATGATGACTTGGGTAGGTGCAAGTCCCCAACCCCCATGATCATGAACTAGACTGAATTGGATTGAGAAAAATGATGGGTGGACACTTATGTCTGAAGCATCTATTGGTTTTCTAAAGTTTTGAGCTCATACTGTAATGTTACCAAAGGCTGATAAAAAAGAATGACGTGAACCAGCACTTCAAAGCTTCAAATGTTCAACAGCCTTCACAAAACAACCCACTCAAATTTTAGTAAATGGCTAGCATTTTAATTTAAACTCACAGTACATTCATTTTTAGCAGTCGTATCTTAAATATGTCTTAGCAATCGAGATCCTGATTGCTGTAACGGGTTAGAAATGGTACAATTAACACTACTGGAACACTTGTGAATGTGAGATTACCTCAATGCGCTGGCGAGCGGAGATGTCTGGATTATAATCCAGCCGTTTTTTAGGAGGCTTGAGCCCCAAGCAGCAGCAGTGAGCAGGAAGGGGAGGAGAAGAGGAGGAGGAATAAGAAGGTGAAGATGGAGGAGGTGAAGGAGGAGAAGCGGTGGTGACATCATGGGGGGGAAACAAACAAAAAAAAAAAAAAACATGTGGAGAGAGTGACACCTGTTAGAGAATCTGAGTAACCACAGACAACCACAGCACATGTGATTTGCTTGTATCAGACACTTGTGCACTTACACCAACACATTGACACACACCTACATATATCTATTCATCACACACGTTCTTTGATATACACTTTCTAATGTATTCTATTTATTAGTTTTTTCCCTTAAACTGCAGATTGTCGAGGCTAAAACAACGCAGGCCTACTACACCAGTCTATAAACCACACCAACACACGCAACTGTGCCTATTTACCACACACACATGCAGAGTGTAAGAACAAGCTGTAAGCAAAAAGCAAAGTGAAGCACAAGCTACGACATTGTGTTTCTTTGAGAGTGCAAGGACTTGCACAATCAAATGCTGTGACTTATCGCCTCAATCGAAAACTGAACACAGTGTGTGGTTCTGACCGTGGCCGTATCAGTCAGATAAAATGTCTACACTCTAAGGGCTTATTGAATGATGTGAAACAGTGAAAACATTGCAGGTAGAAATCTCACAAAACAGCTAAACATGACTGTGAGAAGACAGAAAGTCATGCTAGATCTGAATGTGAAATTTTCACCTGAACATTTCGAATAAGCCCAGCAAGTCAACACCTGATGTCATGCGCTGGCATGGACAGAGGCATGTCCATGTGACACTTTGTAAATCAGACAGGTTGTGGGTAATTTGATCCCACATTTATGACTGGAGGCGATCTCTGTTTCAAGTCACTATGACATTATTACCACTTACATCCATCAGAGGGCACTAAAGCATTTAGCTTCAAAGTATGCAGAGAGTTCCCTCATAGTACTGCAAGGATCAAATGAATAAACAGGGTATGTAAAGGCAGATTGACAAATAAATACTGGCATGTACAGTACTACGCAAAAGTCTTGAGCCATTCTTATTCTTTATGTTCTTCACCACAGTCTGAACTCTCTCAGGCAGCTTTCTTGTCATTTCTTTAAGTAGACTTCAGCAATAGTTCTCCAGGCTGCAGCTCTTTTTTCAGTGTTTCTGCCTTTTGTTTTGTTCTCTGTCAAGATGATACCACAAGGCTTCATTAATATTAATGTCCCGGCTCTGGGAAGGCCAATACATAACTGATAGTGTTTTACTTCCTAGGTATGCTTTACAGCATTGGCATTGCTTTTGAGGTCATTATCATGCTGAAAAATTAAGCCACCAGACGCTTTCTCCCAATACCACAGGCTGAAATGCCCCAAACCATGACAGTGCCTCCACTGTGTTTTATAGATGGCTGCAGACACCGTTGTACCTCTCTCTAGACCTCCTCCTTACATACTGATTACAATTTGTGAACAAAAAGTTTCAAATTCAGATACATGATTATAAAGCCTGCTGCCAATCAGCTGAAGGATTAGCTGCATCTCTTAGGTCTTGTCAGGTCTTTACTGATTTTTTCCTACTTCTCGAGGACATGACTTTTAGCTGTAACCATTTTTTTATGCCTTCTTAGGTCATTTCTTATTTTGTCCCCAACTTGTCCAGTTTCCTAGAAATTTTTAAAACTCACACTGCACACCAAGTTTTACAACAATAGTATGTTATGCCTGTCAACTATTTTCATGGATTTAGCTAAAGAAATGGGAACAAATTATGTGTTTTTTGTGACAGGCTGCTAGTAACAAAGTGCCTAAAGGTAATATTTAAAACTGCTTCTTTGCCAAGTTGTCATACAGTGGGGCAAAAAAGTATTTAGTCAGCCGCCGATTGTGCAAGTTCCCCCACCTAAAATGATGACAGAGGTCAGTAATTTGCACCAGAGGTACACTTCAACTGTGAGAGACAGAATGTGAAAAAAAAATCCATGAATCCACATGGTAGGATTTGTAAAGAATTTATTCGTAAATCAGGGTGGAAAATAAGTATTTGGTCAATAACAAAAATACAACTCAATACTTTGTAACATAACCTTTGTTGGCAATAACAGAGGTCAAACGTTTACTATAGGTCTTTACCAGGTTTGCACACACAGTAGCTGGTATTTTGGCCCATTCCTCCATGCAGATCTTCTCGAGAGCAGTGATGTTTTGGGGCTGTCGCCGAGCAACACGGACTTTCAACTCCCGCCACAGATTTTCTATGGGGTTGAGGTCTGGAGACTGGCTAGGCCACTCCAGGACTTTCAAATGCTTCTTACGGAGCCACTCCTTTGTTGCCCAGGCGCTGTGTTTTGGATCATTGTCATGTTGGAAGACCCAGCCTCGTTTCATCTTCAAAGTCCTCACTGATGGAAGGAGGTTTTGGCTCAAAATCTCACGATACATGGCCCCATTCATTCTGTCCTTAACACGGATCAGTCATCCTGTCCCCTTGGCAGAAAAACAGCCCCATAGCATGATGTTTCCACCCCCATGCTTCACAGTAGGTATGGTGTTCTTGGGATGCAACTCAGTATTCTTCTTCCTCCAAACACGACGAGTTGAGTTTATACCAAAAAGTTCTACTTTGGTTTCATCTGACCACATGACATTCTCCCAATCCTCTGCTGTATCATCCATGTGCTCTCTGGCAAACTTCAGACGGGCCTGGACATGCACTGGCTTCAGCAGCGGAACACGTCTGGCACTGCGGGATTTGATTCCCTGCCGTTGTAGTGTGTTACTGATGGTGACCTTTGTTACTTTGGTCCCAGCTCTCTGCAGGTCATTCACCAGGTCCCCCCGTGTGGTTCTGGGATCTTTGCTCACCGTTCTCATGATCATTTTGACCCCACGGGATGAGATCTTGCGTGGAGCCCCAGATCGAGGGAGATTATCAGTGGTCTTGTATGTCTTCCATTTTCTGATGATTGCTCCCACAGTTGATTTTTTCACACCAAGCTGCTTGCCTATTGTAGATTCACTCTTCCCAGTCTGGTGCAGGTCTACAATACTTTTCCTGGTGTCCTTCGAAAGCTCTGGCAGGGCGAAGGACACTGTCTCAGCTGAACTATGGACACGCACACACATACATATACTGATACTGATAAGCACTCACTGACGCAACACCCTCCCTACCCCAGCTCCAACGCCACCTCCAACGCTTACCTCCCCCATGATGTGGACATCGGGTCAGCTGGAGGCGCAGTCGAAAGATTGTAGCGGTCCCAGATCAGATGTACACACTGGAACTCTTTCCCATGTTGCTTGTCTGTGTTTATTGTGTTATTGTGAGTTGATACCTGTGCATTCCTGTATTATCCTTTTGTGTTGTACATTTCAATGTTTTTTTTCCTCGCTACCTGGCCTGACCTGTCTCCCCAATGTGATGTTTGTATTGTATGTATGGTTGGCAAGGTCTGTCATCTCGGTTGTGGGCAAAAGACCTGCAACTGACAAATAAAGGCTATCTCATCTCATCTCATCATCTCTTTGGTCTTGGCCATGGCAGAGTTTGGAGTCTGACTGTTTGAGGCTGTGGACAGGTGTCTTTTATACAGATGATGAGTTCAAACAGGTGCCATTCATACAGGTAACGAGTGGGGGACAGAAAAGCTTCTTACAGAAGACGTTACAGGTCTGTGAGAGCCAGAGATTTTCCTTGTTTGAGGTGACCAAATACTTATTTTCCACCCTAATTTACGAATAAATTCTTTACAAATCCTACCATGTGGATTCATGGATTTTTTTTTCACATTCTGTCTCTCACAGTTGAAGTGTACCTCTGGTGCAAATTACTGACCTCTGTCATCATTTTAAGTGGGGGAACTTGCACAATCGGTGGCTGACTAAATACTTTTTTGCCCCACTGTATGTGTAGAGACAACACTGATTCATTCCTTGACTTGGGAGCCTGTTTCATGCTTGAATGATTCATAGGTCAGCGTTGTGAGGCTTAGCTAACAAAAACACATTCTTCTGAAAATGGTGAGGCAGAATGACTGGAATGAAAAAGCAGATTGAAAAAGCAGCCAATGTCCAAAGAAAAACTTCAGAAAGCCCAGAGAACTAAAGAAATTACAAGAAAGTCTGGCTTCTTAGATGCTAAATATGAAGAATTTAGAAGTGGCTAAAGACTTTCGCAAAGAACTGTATGATAGATACTGAACAAAATTACACAAATTATTTAAGAAAGAGTTTAGAGCAAAAAGTAAATATCAGTCGAATCTCTGCTACTGCATCTTTTTTATTAATGTTTTGACTGTTCATGACCTCAAGTTATCTCAAACGTTTGGAGGCCACTGCCTTTAAACCATTTCCTGCTTATTTTTGAACAAGATGCAGAAATGAACCAACTGAAACAAAAGTGTCGAGGTTCACGTGTGAGCATTTTAGTGCCTGCTAGTCAAAGAACCAAAAACCCAGCAGCAGAGAGATAAACCGCAGTTTGTCACAAAGGTGTTTTGGGGGTAAGGAAGGGGGCACCAAACAAGCACCAAACAAGTATCACATGCCCAAACAACTAGCCCCACCCAGTCTAATAGCACAGACATAAAAAAAAAGTCCCGGGTGGAGTGGAGATAGTGGGTGTATGCCTATGACAGAGTTGTGTTTAAAGGAGTAGCTAGGCCCTGACTTACCGGCCGCCCAAACTCCAGCTCGGAAAAGAACTTATACCAAGGCTCGTTCTCTAAATCTATGTCATCATAGGTCTGGGAAAGCATGACAGTGACAGAGAGAGGAAGTAGAAGAAAGACAGGAGAAAGGAAGTGTGGAAAGAAGTCACATACAAAGAGAGACATGGTCCTCGTGGTTAGGAATGGGCACAGGTGGCAAAGGGAGATGGGCACAGGATGAACCAGGATGAAGGCTTGCCCATGGAAACAAAAGTGTTGCAGCAGAGCCCATTTACAGCTCAAGTTTCACTCCTACAGTACAGTGGTCAGTCAGTCTAGAGCAACAAACTGCCACAATCCAAAAAGGGCTCAGGCTAAACATGTAAATAATAACTGTAACTGACTACGCTTTTGTGCTGCTGTATGCATTTATACAGTCTATAAACATCAAACACAAACAGCACCATGAACCACTCAGAAGTGAATGTTTGTGAATGAAAAAAGACAACATTTAGATGTTTTTCATGTTTTAAAATGATGTCCATATTAATGTTTTAGTTGCCTTAGTTTTCTTGTATGTCTTGATGCCTTTTAAGACACATTTTAATAAAAGGTCAGCTTGTTTGATTTGTTTCCATTTACTGTTACTTGAACTGTAGAGATGGCATTGTGTGTTTTACCACGCTGTCTGCTCTTTCTAACCCCAATCCCACATAAAATTGAGTTTTCATGCCAAATGAAAAACTGCCAGGAGATGTTTTGTAGGTGTTGTAGTGCTACATCTCTGGCTTAAAAGGAAATTCAGCTTTCAGATGGATGAGTCACCCTGGAAAAAAAAACAAAACAGAAGCCTGGAGCAGAGACTGCCAATCACACAAATGCATTAGGGACACTTGCACACACACATCTAAAGAACAAGAGTAACAGAAAAACATTTTTTGCCTCTTAAAGGCCATAATTACCCAAACGAGTGCGTCATCAACATACAGGTTGTTTTAGGGGTGACACTTTTTTACTTTGGTTAATGGAGAAAAAAAATTATACCGAGCAGCACATTAGACAGCGTGGGTCCTTCTACACCTTTCTCCTTTATTACCTCTGTCTATCAGGAAGTGACTCATGCATTATTGCCCTGGAAGCACTCTCAGCAGTCATCACATAAAACATCTGCGAAACAGCCATTTTTTTTTTGCAAACACAACTCATTTATAACACATTATTCATTATTCCGTCCTAATCTCAAATACTATTTTTTTCAGTCCCGCCTGTCAACACAGTCAGTTTTTGCATTTTTTTCCTGCTATCTGCTTTGTCCTTCACCCCACACAAACATTAACACTGAGTACTGTCGCTAGCGGATGTAAGCACTGGAAGCTTTTAACGCCCACATTGTCTCTGACAGAAGAAGAGCCATGTGAAAGCCAACAATATAATGACATACTAATGTCTGTCTACCAGACTAGCAAGTTTCAAAAAAAAAAAAAAAAAAAAAAAAGGCGCTCTTGCTTGTGACTATTTTTTCACTCTAAAAACAGCCTGAGCAGTGACTGAATTATTTAATCTTCTACCAAACGATACCAAGAAACACTGTGAGGAAATCACTTGATGTTCTCACACGATGCCAGGGTGAAGATAAACAGGGAGGCATTTCTCTGCATATTTTAAGAGGGGTGGGAATTTCAGTATTTAAAAAAATAATAATAATAATAATTACTCACTGGTCTTTCATGCTCCAAGATAGAGGACTTCCCAGGCTCGTACTCAAAAATACTCTTGGGCTCTGCGCGGTACTTTCGCGTGTCCACTTTTCGGTCTGGAGGACCCCATTCATTGCTGGTGTGAGAGAAACAAACACATGCTTTTTCAGAAAAAAACGCTTGAGATAACTGACATTAAAATAAAGATTATTAAAAATATTACAGCATATCAATATATCATCAATATTAGTTAATATTGAGAAAGTTCGCACTTACGCGTCTGTCAAGTCCCTCTCGCGATCACTGTCTCTCGCCCTCAGTTGGAGAAGGGATGGCATGGGTGGAGGTGGTGGGGGTACAGGGGATGGTGAAAGCTCCCGAGGTCCAAGATGCCCTTCATTGTTATCCGAGGGGCTCTTGGACAGAGGCCTGTACGTATGTGTCCGAGGGGCAGGGTGGGCCATGGTGGTGCTGGATGACAGGCTGTAGTTATCTGGCAAGGACAGGATGGAGGAGAGAGTGGAGGCAGAAGCAATGAGGCCAGTAAGCCAGAAAGGAAGGTTGGGAAGAAGTTATTGATTTTTAGGAAATACAACTTGTGTTACACAGGAGCAGGTCTCACCATTGTTTACGAGAGCATATGAAGCATTGTATGTGTCGGAATAGTCGTCATCTGTAGAGGAAATGTACAAAACAGTTGATTGGGAACACGTGTAAGCACACTTTGTTGTACACAGGGTACAAGTTTGTCCTCAAAGATAGCACTTTTAACCAGCCTGGAAATGAACAGTTACACAAGTGATTTTCTTTTCAGCTACAAGTATATTAAAAGCACCAAAGCAACATGATCCACTTTCCCAGAACTCTTTCTGAACTTTAAAGATGAAAGATGACTGAAATTCTGACTAAAACGAATCAAGGTTGCAGGATGGGGAAAGCATACTACTGCCTGTGCTTCCAGTAAAATCAAAAAAATAAAATGCATCAAGACCATAATGAGCCTTTGGATGAGTTCTCAGCGCACACACCCGTGAAATAGTCTGTGTATCTGAGAGTGCATGAGTTTTTTGTGTGTGCTCTTGTAGCAGAAGGCTGAGCAGTTTAGAACAAACAAGCCTTGTACTGATTCTGTGATTCTGTCAAGCCCACAAAATTAGAGCAGATTTCCCAGGATGGCTCTGTGTCTATTAGAGGTTTCTCTCCATTCCTCCTCCTCTCCAGGCTGTTGCTCGCAATCTAACGAGCTCTGGCTCTGGGATCATCTGGGTCTTTTGGTTTAATGAGAACTGGCATGCAAACACACACCCACACACAAAATATGCACACGCATACAAACAGCATGCATACATGACCAATTCTGCATGAAATGTCTAATAATCTAGTCGTTGCACATCATTTCAGCACGCTACAGCAGAGGCCTTACCTGCTTTGTGAACTTTGTGAATCTGTTTGAACATAGTTTTGTACCAGTCTTTGGGCCTATCCACCGTCTGCAGACAAAGAAATAACCAGAGTTATGTGCCGTTAAATGTAACACAAATGTGAAGGCTGAATTTAGAAACTATAAACGGACTCACAACATGTTATTGGACATTCTAGAGCTGAAAAAACACAGTAAGCCTGTTGAAGCATTTATACTTCACACAGGGATAATATAACTAATATAAATAATTTAACTAATATAAACAGACTAATACTAATATAACTATAACTAATATAAAGAATAAAACCAAGACTGCGTCTTATCCGAGAGAAATATTTGTATTTGCCAATAAGGTTATTCTGTCATGGCCACTTGTGTGTTGTCGTTTTCTGTTGATTAAACAAACAAACCCGTTAAATTAAGTAAGCACTAATTATAAAACCCGGGCCAACGTTTAGTTGGTGCATCCCTACATCAAATATCAGGCTAGTGTCTGACCACTGGCTAAAGTTGCTTTATTCACACAACTCCTGCTCTGTATGGCTGCTTTTCACATATAGTGTGTTTGTAACTTGTATAACTGTTTTTCACTTGACATTTGTTAAAAGGTTAAGATAGTCTTTTGTTTAGACAGCTTTTAGACAGAAATTTTGATAATATTCAGTAACCATACAAGTCTCACCAAGAACTTACACTGAATATTCATATGAAAAGAAACACAAGAGCTGTGAAAAAACAGATTTTTAGAATATTTGGCAGTGATAGTGTTTAAATATGTGGATAATATGTAGAACCTCTGTTTGTGTCTGCATATTCCTCAGAGACCTTTAGGACATTTTTTGGTTATATCAACTATTATATTGTCATTTTTGCAAGCAAACAAAATGGCTAAAATTACTAAATTTTAGCATTTTGTGCCTATAACACCTTATAAAATCATTTCATAGGTTTAATTTCATGAGAATAACCTTCAACAGATATACACAAAACTCAAATTATGCATGATACATTATTATTACATGACATCATTACTTAGCAATGGGCTAAAATGATCCGTTATTAGCATATGGCCTGTATTTACCACTCCTTTTTTATGCTTTTCTCAGTGTGATTAAGTGTGAACAGGACAAACGATACTGTAGCATGGGCAACTACTTTTGTAATATTCTAAAATCAGGCACTTGCTGCAGCCCTTAGTAGGGCTGTGGGGTCCTTCTTTCTAACTATGACTTTGAGATCTTAAAGTGAGCAATTAAAAAAACATGATGTTTATGTAAGGTCAGAATATTTAAATGCATAGTTTAAATAGCCACAAATGACACACTATCACTTACCTGAATGACTACTATGTCAGTTTGTTTTGGTATGACTATCAGTGCGTATGTTCGAGTCAAGCTGCCTCAGCAGGTTCAGTTTTGAACCACAAAGGTGTCGAATTCTTGTTGGTACAAAGTGGGGGCTCTGCTTGCTGTGGCTGGAGAATCAAGGAGAGACCCTGGTATGTGTGCCTTTGTGTAAACAGTATAGATCTAACAGACACTTAAAAAAAGACCCATCAAATGGCAGAGAGACTTAATCCTCTCTTTATTCAGTAGCACTAAACAATGTGCCTGGATTCCGGTCAGAGAGGAGGCAGTTTGGCTCCACAGAGAAAGAGCATGTGACTGTGCACGCAGCACTGGCACAGCCAAGAGACGCGCCAATTACCACTTCACTCTCCACGGTTACCAAACAGAGTGGCCACAAAAATGTTTGCCCGCTTAAAACAAGGAGCATCTGTTTTTCTTCTCTCCTGCTTTCGTCTCTTTTCAACTCTTTTCGTTTATTGCTCGTCTCTTATTCTCCCCATTTCTCTTTCTCTCATTTTGTAGCTCAGCAAGCATTCCTTTAAATGCTGCTCTTCAACCAACCAATAACTGAGTGAAGTGTTAATACACGGAAAGCCTTAACAGATATAACACACAGGGACACGCTCCTTGACAAGTAATCAGCAAGGACCTTGTAGTACCAAAGCAAAGACCTTGTTTGAGCTCATCTTCATGACTAGCACACAGAAGGAAGCGAAACTGAGATAGTGAGAGCGGGAGAGAGTCTTTGAACATGGGGTCAAAAGCTGCTGACAGCTTCAAGTAATTCCTTGCTTAAAAAAACCTGTTCACACAAGGAGGCAGGAGAAAATGGCTTCAAAGAAACTCCTCTGCTTTACTACAGCATCTACGAGAGCAGGTCTACTGTACGAGTTCTCTCACCGTGCGGATGGCGATAGGAATGCCTGACTCATCAACTGGGCCGATGCCTTCGTAGTGGGGGGCTTTAACGACCGACACCTTCTTTTCTTCTTCTGAGAAACGGGCAATGGGCACAGTGCTGCTGATGCTGGTGTGCCCTGACATCACAGACTCTCTGGTGACTGTTTCACTGCCCTCTGGATCCAAGAAGGAAGCAGAGAAAGAGGAGACAGACGTGTTAGTAATACAGGTCCTCCACAAGCTCCAGTTAAATGTTTGTAATGGATAGACTGCTACAGATATAGATTATATATGAATCCTGAGACATAGATACATACACCTTACTTGGCATCTTAACGTTTACAGTTACACTGTAAAGATCCTTTTACATTTACAATGATGTAAGCAATGATGTAACGTTTGTTCCTCTGTGAGAGGTTTCAGTTCAATTATCTGACTGAACTTAGGTTCTATTTTCTGCATGTGCTTGTGTAGTCTTAAGTCTAATGTCTTTCAATCTTTTTAGGCATGTCATATATCACCACAGATCAGTGACTCACCTGAACTCCTGCTCTGTCTCTGAAGCCCCGTGTGGAGTGAGACAGGAGGTGGAGGATATGACGGGGGAGACAGCGGCCTATGTGGATGGCTAGTACTTCCATTCATTGCGTGAGAAAGAACCTGGCCCTAGGAGCGACCCAAAACCCAGAAACAGGGAGTGTAAGAAAATCACCAACAGCAGACAAAACCTACACTACTTACAGTTGTAAAGCTCTATAACATTGGCTTAACATAATATATATATTTTTAAAAAATTGTGGAAACAAAAGGATTAGCCGCCAGATAACACTTCATGATAACCATTGCTAAGGATGGATACTAGTGGACTAAAAATCAACCTGGACAGTGACGTCTCTGTCGGTGTGTAGTTTTATTGTCACTTGCTGTTTACATTTGTTGTTTGGTTTGGTGCAGGCCCTCAAAATACTGCATATGTTTATGAAAAGATTGTGTTTTAGGTAAATATTCAAGGAACCAATATAAGACCAAGGCTAAAGGACACCTTGTGCATACATGTGAGACACCTGCACAGTTGAATAAACAGCAGCATTTAATCCCCCGGGAGTGAAAACAGGCAGGTTAATCATTACCGAAATGCTAATGCAGTTTTGCAATAAACACATAACAGAAGTTTATAAAATGTTGCTTGTGTTGGTGACATCATAATGTAACAGCTACTAAATCTAAGTTATAACTTCATTAACACTAAAACAAATCATTGTTTGTTTCTAGTAAATTAACCGCTTAGTAAAGATTAATTAACAATCAATTTGTGGTTTATTAGCAATGGCTATTACAAAGTCTTACCATCCAACATTAGTCATCACATTGTTCCAATCAGAGCGGGTAAAAGAACCAGTTCTGATTAAGAGTGGATGGACATGTGAACATACAGTGAACGTGATTCACAGTAAGTTGTGAATCTGAAGTGACTAAAACATAAAGACAGTTAGTGGGGGGAAGGGTCACTCACTGAAACACGTCACAGTGTACATAAAATACATGAAAAAAGAAAAAAACAAAAGACTAAAACAGAGACAGTAAGCCCATTCACATTCACACACATCTCATTATTTAGTTAACAAACATCTGACATAAACAAGATAGTGGACATGATATATTTACAATGGGATGCTCTTCCCATTCAATATGTCACAGGAAGAAGTTACATTAACTGAAAAAGAATAAAAAGTCTGTACAGTGCTGTGAAAACCATTTACCCCCTTCCTGATTTCATAGTTTTGTTATTCCCCAAATTTCTCCCTCTTAAATGATTCAGATCATAAAACAAATTTTGACATTAGAAAAAGATAACCCATGTAAAAGCAATGCAGTTTTTAAATGATGATTTAATTTACTAAGAGAAAAAAAAATGGCATCCATGGGAGAGTTCCAACGAGCAAACCACTGCTGACCGAAAAGAACAGAGCGACTGTCGCACATTTACCAGAAAACATCTTGATGATCCCCAAGACTTGGATACAAAAGACAACCAACAAACCAAACCAAACCAAAAGGTAAAGTCTGGACTTTAATCTCATTGAGACTTTCTGGCATGACCTTATACGGGTTGTTCATGCTGGAAACCCCGCAAAGCTGCTAAACTGAAATAATTCTTCAAGATTCCTTCATAGCGATCTGACACAGATCATTGACAGTTATACTTGCTGCTGTGGGTGGCATAGTTATATTTTCTGAAACGTGTGAGAACTAAGCAAAGATCTATGAACTCATGAAGGGCGAATACTTTTTCACAGCACTGCATTTCAGTTTTAAAGTTTGCCTGTTCACACCAAAGATTCATGGTGAAGCAAGAGGGAGGTACTACAGAGCCAGAGCACCATCATCTTCGACTCAGATAACCCAAAGAAAGACTGACTAAAAAATGAATTGCTTTTTTAAGTGTGCTTGGCATATAATGCTATTATGTTGTCATATGAATAGTATAAAATTATGTAAAAAACAAAAACACACACACACACACACACACACACACACACACACACACACACACACACACACACACACACACACACACACACACACACACACACACAATTATTTTTATACATAGGTTCAAGTGAGATTGCCTGCCTGTAGTACCCTAATCTACTTACACAGAGAATACTAATTAAAGCTACTTATTAGAATATGATTTTTTAATAAACTGAATAAAGAAAGGCCAATATGATATTTTAGTCATAGTGGTCATATAGCAGAAAGATAAAGTATTATTTATAAAGCGCCAATGTGCCTCAATGTGTTTCATGCTGTAAGGTAGGGACCCTACAATAATAGAGAAAACCCCAATATCAGACAACCCCCCTATGACCAAAAACTTTGTAACAGTGGGAAGGAAAAACTCCCTTTTAACAGGAAGAAACAACAAAAATGACTAATTAACTTCTCATGGTAACATTGTATATCTCATTGAAAAAAAAGGTTTGAAGAATTCTGTATTTAGAGTACTTTTGCAAACACTTGTTATCCACATAGTGATTAGCAGTGTAGTTACATGCATTTACAAAGCACTGCATGCTCTCCCCAAAGGCAAAAATTAGATTAAAATACTAAGAAACAAGTTTACCAAAATGAAATCTACTGCTTTCAATATCATACTTGCATAACTGCAAACACAGCATACACATGTATGTTCTCCTAGCATAACATAGAGAAACAATAAAGTAGAATATGTCTATTTGCAGTGTAATATAATGAGCTGAATGGTCACATAATTACAGTCCAAACACATGCTGCAGTGCTAAAAAAAAAGAAAGAAGAAAAACAGCAGGAGTTCAGTCTTTTTAGATGCTAATAACCCATAGCTAATGGCTTCCAGCAGAGTACTGCACCTTCACCTTAGAGAAATCACTCCATTGCATCATGAATTTTTGATATGAACTGGCCTTAAGAAACACGATGGCAAAAACGACAAAAGGAGAAATATAGACACGCATAGACATGTTTGAATGAGTACAGACAGTAACATAATAAGGGAACGAAGAGGGCTGGATTTAATTTCAGTATCTGACAGGTAGGGTGTAGATAACAGTTAGTGAAAGTTAAAAATTGGTAGTGATCACACACTTTGTAGAGTTCTGATTCAGCCATCAAAATGAGTGGAGGGAGCGTGGGAACCAACTGTTCTTGGTAATGATGTATGTTATAGATGTGACTTGGATAATTACATTAGTGAAAGTGGCTGCTGCAGCAGTGGAGGCCACAGAGGTTGTTAGCACATCATCACGGCCAGCAGTGGGCGTGTAGGTAGAGACATGGCTCAGAGTGGGCGATGGCGTGGGTGAGGCGACAGGCGAGTCCAGGCTACAGATCTGCAGCTCGTCCAGCAGACCGACCGTGGATGTCGAGTAGTGGCTGAGAGCTGACACGGTAACGGGGGAAGCCGAGGGCGAGGCACAGCTCACACTGCTGACTGCGCCGTGGCTTGGCCCGCTGGCCGCACCAGCTGTGCCACCAGCTCCACTTGGGACATACGGAGTGGGTGATAGTGCCTTGGGCATTAGACCTGACAGGTAGTCAAGTGACTCTGAGCTGTGGTAGCGATAGGGGGAGTGCCGTGCTGTGGGGTCAGGCGAGGGAGGCCCCTGAGGTTGGAATAAAAGGTAATTCATTGGAAAAGGAGGAAAGGAGGAGAGTGCTTAGTGATATAATTTATTAGACATGGCGTCAAAAGGGATGTGTAAAAATAACATGTGACAACAGGTGAATTACTGTTGTGAAACCACACTGTGTCATAAAGCTGCAGCACCCTCTTCTGAACGCATTAATGCTGGAAACTGAAGATGTTTTGTTAATTCACACTTTACAGAAAAAGCACCAGATTACATGGTAATTAACTGTGGTGTACAACATATTATACACTTGGTTAAAATGCAGTACAAGTTCACACAAATGTAGAATCACTGTTTGGTTCAGTGGAAGGTATTATCAAGAACAAGAATGAACTAAAGGGCAACACACACAAGTAGGAGACATGCATTAAAACCCCTACGGTATATCTGCTTTAACAGAATGCCACAGTCAGACTCAACATATAAGAAAAGAAGCTAGTTTAGAATTTGGGCCATCACTGTAATAGTAGCTTGACTACTTCTGTTATTTCTGGGGACCTACTGCAACCAAGTGACATGATGCAGTTGGTGTGTTACCCTTTAATCAGTCTTGATGTCACCAAGACATAAACCCAGTGTCTGGATTAAAGTGACCTTTAAATGAACACAACTGTGTATTTTGCTCTGCTGTACCGGTCTGTAGTCAGTTATGTACCAACAGTTTTGCAGGAGAAGGCCTTGGTGGAATTGCAGGAGGAGGCTTCGTCATCTCCACCTGGGATGGAGCTGGAGCTGCCATTTGATCTGAGACCTCGAGTTCCACTTTGGAGTTTGTCTTAGATGAAGCAGGATTTTTTTTATTCTCTTTGTCCAAGCGGACAGAAATCGAAGCTGTCTGTGTCACGGGTTGAGATAGGATGGGACTTCTTTGTGGAGGTGAGGAAGTGGGTGGAGGGGACCCTGTGGTTTGGGTCTTATGTTGGGGATCAACACAAGAATTGAGGTGTGCAGGAGGGTCAGGGATGGTGACAGGAGTTAGTGTAAGGGAAGACACCTTACGTTCTTTTGTATTAGCATTGCTTGTGTCATTCGAGACAACGGACTCATTCAGCTGCTGGACTGTGTTTGCACTGGTTTCTGAGTATGAGTAGGATGATGTGCTTCTTACAGTGTAGGACTCTTTCAAGACTGCTTGCTCATTTTTAGTGATTGTTAGCATTCCAGGACTCAAATCATTAGCCAGGCCAATAAGGGAACTGTAATTTTGAGGATTAGTGCCTGCAGGCGAGAAGTGAAAACTCTCTTTTCTGGGGGGTGGCAATGGCAATGGACTGATATCCTTGTTAGCCAATTAGAAAGTGGCAACCAATGTAAGTTCAAACAGCAAAAAAGAAAAACAAAACAGAAAAAAAAAATCAGCAGCACAAAGCATGAGATCAGAAAGTTTAAAAGACTTGTTTCAGAATACAGCAACAATATATGTATATTATCCAAATTCCTAATGACGTTAAAAATAACTTTTTTCCCCACTCAGACACTCAAAAGCCAACAGAAGCACATCACATCATGAAATTACACTTGTAATTAAATTTTAAATAGCAACAACAGAAATAAATGCGTGAGTGTCTGTCAGTGTACTGTGAATGATGTTTCACCTGTGAGGGGGACTTTTTGTCCTGCAGATTGGGTCTGACGCTGCGAAAGCCTTTGGCAGCAAGCGATGAGCTGCTAGCATCTCCGTTTTTAAGGCCGTCTGTTGCGCTGTGTGACCGCCAAGAATCTGAAGATAAATTTAGTAATTTTACCATTACTAATGTTTTCTGACCAAGTTTGCTGGGATCATGTGGGATGTTTTACAGCAGTGTTAGGATTGTCCACCAGAAATCACCAAAAGCATCAGGCACTTACCCAAGTCCGATGAGTGAGAATCACTCCCTGGGGAAAAAAGGACACAGCAATAATAAGCAACATGGCTGAGTGTTCCTTACATTCATCTCTGCAACAAACTCCAATATACACCTACTGTGCAAACATTTTTAAAAAGCTCTTAAACATCAAGATACAATTCACACCTAATTACCAAGAACTGCTTCTACTGCATTTTTAACAGCTAATGATTTTCCCCCCTGCATGCTACAACGTGTCTGTGGGTTTCCTCTTGAGGTTGCTTTCCCGTCAGCTTAAAGGATAGAGACAGAAAACTCATTCTTGAAGCAATTTTCACGCTTCACGCTGTAACAGGAGCATCATCTAAAGCAAACGTTAAAATCCACTATGAGCCACTTCAAGAAAGGCAAGTTGGAGCTTTAGGAAAATATGTGAGATAACCTAAAAATGTCTTTGAGTGAACTTGAAATTATCTAAAAGGAAATCAAAGAAATCGAGACTCTATAGAGACAGTTATCAAACTGTAATATCAAAATCTATGCCAAAATGATTTTTTTCTGCATTTCAAACTCCTGGCATAAAAAAATATCAGCATTTGCTTCAGTGACTGAACTTGCTTCCTATGACTAAAAATACAATCAAATAACTGTAATCTAATTTAACACTGAACTCACAAACAATAGTACTCTGTGGTGAATCTAGTGTAACAGTAATTTCATTAACGATGCCATTTTCTGTACACAGAGTATCTGAGGATAATTTAGCTTAGGTCAAGGAAACAGTGTAATGCCTAACCAAAAAAAGAAACATTTATTAAAAAAAACCTTTAAAAACATTAAGGTAATATACACATAGACAGGGAGAAGACATTGTGGGATGTGAGAACATAATATCACTTCTACAAAGAAGAAGCAAAAGAATAACAGCACATAGATACAAATATGACGAATGAGTGAAGGAAGCAAAAGAAGGAAATGAACAAAAGGAAATGAAAGAATTACACAATGAACTGATTAGGAAAAAATAGCATCCCACAATCCAAACATTGCTTAAGCATACCGAGGCAGCCACAGCCTATTTCAAAGTATTTCAAATGTGTTCAAGCCATAACAGGATTTTCAACAACAACAAGCCACTTAGATGTACCTCATGTCCTTGACCGATAGTTTGGCTCAGCCAACACTTGCAGCGGCCTTTTATTTGGGTTATTTTGGGAAATAGTTATGTTCATTTGTATGTTTGTGAGTGTTAGTACCTGTGGCTAGATTTGGTGAGCTCTGGACCCTCTTCATGGGAGAGAGCATGAGTGACAAGGCCACACATTTGCGAGCATATCCTCCGCTATCTGAGAAATCACAGCCAGGCAGATGATCATAGAAGCAAAAGCTGAAGCATACATGCACATGCTTGTGCACATACTGCCATAAACAAATGCATTCAGCCGGAAAGATAATAATTACAGTAACAATATTGCAAACAAAGGCAGATTTGGAGGCAAAGCACATGCATTTCAAGTAGCTGATTTTTACTGGCACTCAATAGAAAATTAGGAAAAAGCTGTGCAAACACGAGAACTGCAAAAGTGAACAAATCAAAGTCAATATGATTTACTGCATTAGCTTCCACTAACCTAAATATTTACAAGAGATAAAGTGAGACATTAGTTGTTTTTAAATCAACGTGATTCTGAACTGGGTTATTACCAAAAAATAAATTTAAAAAAAATCCCAAACTAATGATTTTATGATCATGACATGACGACAGGCAGAAATGTAAAACATGCTCTTTCTTGTTATATTTCTCCCATTTTTCTCATAGATGAATACATTTTACACTTATAACCTGAAGTCTTATATAAGACACTGTTTTGTAATAAAAGTTTCATGTATGCTCATCACCGTCATGGCTGATAAACCCACATGACAAAAATTATTTTAACTTTTCCAAACAAAAGCAAGACATGGATCGGACAGGTGGATGGGGGACTTCCCAACGATCCTGTAAACGCTGCACTCTGTACTTGTTTTTGGATATATACTGTACCTGTATTCATATTGAAGAGCACTTCTTACTGATCGGCAGCAGGGGCACACACTTTCCTAAAAAACAAAACAAAATACAAAGTATTTTAGAAAGAGATTTAAACTGTTTGAATAGAGTTTCAAATCCAAGACCTCAAATAGATCTTCTTGAGGGTAAAACCTCAAAAGCAGATTTTGGAGATTCCGGTGTTAAAACACAAAACTGTAGCGAGGTACCTGCTTTACTGCAACCAAGCATATGACTGTGATTAGTTTTTAGTGTGCTCACTAATTTGGCTTTTTTTCCATTCTGAGAAATGATGGCAGGCTGGGTGCATGATAGTATTTTGTAAACATGGAATAGATCATTTTTCACTGAGAAACAGCAATAAATGATTTCTAAAAAACTATATAAACTATATAAACTATTGGATATACGAGTGACAGGAAAAGGACACAAATCAAAGGCAAAGAATCATTACAACTGACAAGCAAACAGCACACCTGTTTTACAAAGAAACAAGACTCACATCGCTAACACTGCCTGATTCTGTTTAACTCTGTTTTTTATCTTTCTATTCTTAGAGCTGAGGAGAGAAATGCACAGATGTTTGGGCTATATGCCCCATAGCTGTGTGTTGCCAGTTTGTTAAAAAGGATGAAACAGATTATATTCACCAACAAAACACATGTATCACCAGACATTTGTTTCAACACTGTGACAGCTTAGGGCCTCTTTGCACGCATGTGAGGTCCTGATAATTACAGCTGTCATTTACTGGTGCTTATTTGGGGGACGGTATGCAATTGTATTCTGACATAAATGTGTAAACTGCCTTAGCAGTTGTCCCCAGTAATGAGTGGCACGAGATGGATGACCCAGCATTTTAGTACATACTGTATTAGACCATACTCACAACTCCAGTCTTAACAAGGAGATAAATACAAAACAGTTTTAATGACAGACTAAGTTTGAAGTAACTAAGAAACATTTATTGCTGCTAACTATACAAGTAACTACAGCACCAGCCTCTCAGAACCATTTCATTTACAACTAAGTAGTTTATGTACACATAACAAACAAAAGACAAAAAACATGCAGCTACAACCATTAACTTGTAATACAAAACATAGTGAAACACATCTACCATCACAGGGACTTTATTTTCCTGTCAGCAGATTCTATTTGATTGCTTGTAATGGTTTTAAGAAATGCACAAGGTGTGATGAAACTGTCTTGGGCCCCAGTCACACAGAGCTTAAACTCATTTGGGGCTAAAGACCATCAGGAAACTACCCGCCATGAGGGAAAAATCTATAATCCCTGATCGGTTAGCAGACAGTTGCTAGCATCTGCTGTGAAATCAATTGACGCAGGCGTAGAGACTGGAGACCCCTGGTAACCACTAGTCACTAGGGAAAAGTGTGTCGTGGGAGCCTGTTGACAGTCGATTTGGTTGCAGGGGTATACAGTGCTGCACGACAAACCTTCTTGTGATTGCTTTGGTTCCCAATTGAAGACACAGAATCTTCTACAAATAGTAACAAACTACTTGCTAAGCAATAGTAAAACTAAGAAGTGTGATGCAAACGGGGGATGGAGACTACTTTCCTTCATAGTAAATGTTTTGAAACGTGTTGGTTGCAGCAGTTATGAACAACTTTTACTATGAAGGCAAACATTCTTTGTTTCCAGATTGTGTTGGACTTTGAAAAGTTTCTCAGCTTGGAGAGTAGACGGCGAGTGTTTGTAGATGAGGGGCATCTGTGCAACAACCTCTTTTCAACTGATTTTTATCAGGCATCAGCCAGATGCCTCCAGCCAACACTGGGGGAATAGACTACAGCAACCAGAGGTTGCCAGGGGGTTGCCAAATGGCCCAAGCCAGTGTGACTGAGGCCTTACCTGATTTGGCCAGTCACCCAATAAGGTTGTCCTTTTAGATCACCCTTTTGGCCTGATAATGCTCCTCACTTGACTGTAAGGAGCATCATCATTGATGAGAACAGCGATGCAGAAGCAGTTTTCAGCTGCATCATATCCTCGACCCCAAGGCTGAGACCGTCAGCTGTACTATAACTGTGTTTTCTAGCCACACAAACACAACCTTCACTCACCACCTGGACTAGGTGCCAATCTTTGCTGCCTGCAACTTCAACCACTTTCCAAAATTCAAAATCAAGCTGAAGGGTAGTCACTTTGACAATGGGGGAGATTCAGCATGCACTGCAGAGGCACAAGTGCAAAAGGATAAAATGTAGCAGGTACACAGTGAGCTCAAAATGCTCGAGAGGTGTGTAACAAGTTGAGGTGGGCCAAATATAAATCAGGTAAGGGTTTTTATTTTGGCCATAGATCTTTATCATCATAACTTATAGATATTTTGCCCTGGCTTTGAGATTTTGAGTGCTGAATCTTTTATCACTTACAGTTACACAATATTATTTTTACTACACTTTCCTCTGCTCAGCCCTGTGTCCATCTGCTTCAGAGCAGGGTAGACCCACAGTAAAGCAGTTATATAAGCAAACTCACCCTGAGATGGAACGAAACAAGAGTACATTAAATAGATAAATTAAATTACAAGAGGTATCCTGCTTATCACCCAATAAGAGATGGGATCAGCATGTTTTTATCATGAAGTAACGTTTACTGACAAATTCTTTTTTAATCTGTATTCTTCTTGACATAACCTTCAAGCACCATGTCTTTGATTAGTTTATCCATATTCACTGCTTCATTCTTCCAAACACAGCTAATTTTGGTTGGCAAATAAAATCCTAATATTTGTGGGAGTGCATGAAGACAACATGGGATACTTTCTGTCCCTCAAGACCTAATCCTCACCCTCATACCCTGTGTCCTCATAAATCTTGCTCTCAGAAACAAACACGCACACATACACACACACACGCACACGCACACACACACACACACGCACACGCGCGCAGGCACCCAGGGGTAAATCATGGGTCTGGCGTCGCAGGCTGTCGGCGTCCAAATGATGGTCAGATTATAAACAGCATCATGTTTCTTGGGGACAGATCAGCGGCGACACAGCAGCTGTGGCCGTGGTGTAATATTAAGGCTACACACTGGAAGTAAAACGCTCCGGGCTCAACACCTCAGTTCAACTCTGCCTGCTTGTCAATATAGAGCTTTTTAAAGCTTTTAAATACAATCTAGCAACCCCGTCTAAAGCCTGGGATAGACCATTAGTAGCTCTTTAGCATGTGCCTCACTCTATTTGAAAGAAAGTTTCCAAAATAATCCTGCAAATACTCCCCTAAAATGCTTACTGTGTTGCTTGAAAAGGAAGCCTGGAAATAAATGCAGACAGACCAAACATCTGATACTCTGTCAGCTCTCAAAACCTTAAATAAATACTCAATAATAAAGAAGAGGACTTTGTTTTCCAGCAAGATGCTTTGGATTCTTGTACTACTTTTTAAAGTTGGTATGTCAAGTTTCTTTCGAGACATTTTTTGTTTTTTTTTTACTTTGCTGTGGTTTTTCCACCGACTGTAATTTAGACATCGGTTGGCCACTCTGGAGACCAGTGTGTATATAATTACTGAGTGTAATAGCTGTGGGACAGCAAATATACAACTCAGAGCTAGAAGCTGCAGAAAGCTGTGATGTCCAGTATCGGGGCCATCAAGTCTCGTTAGTCTGCCATGTGGCCCTCTGAGACCTACCTGGTTTACATTATTGGACTAATAGGGCTTAAACTTTATAAACTTTATTTATAGACAAGAGACTGTTACTGTAAGAGGAAGTTTGTGTTGTTTTGTGTCAGTACTAGAAAAACATTTTTGCTAATCTGAGTTTCTCACCATGAGCCGTTTTCTTAATTTTCCTTCCCTTCATCACATGGTAAGCTTAAACAGGAAGACTTTTAATATTGTTGACTTAATCAATCACGTGTTGACACAAATGTCCTTCTGAAAACAACTGATAAGTTTGAGTACATGTATGGGAAATTCCATGTGTAATCTGAGCGCTGTTTTAATTATCTCATAAAATCCGAGCGGAGACAGCACAACAAAGCTGGACCACCAAAGACCGGAAGGAACAAGTGTCTTTGCCAGTATTAACAAAAACAAAACAACAACAGTCACTTAGCTAGGATGCTGTGAAAAATAAAGATATGCCCTCAAAAAGTGTTCGACAGGATACCATTAGTCACTGACTGCTTTGACATAAACAAAACAAGAGTCTTAAGAATAAACATGCCACCATCTTTTAGGGGGAGTACTTAAAGAGCTGAGAGAAGCACTTTTCAATATCATGTGCCTGCTAAACGGACCTTATACAACTGATGGTGTTTTCTTATAAGCTATAACTGCATTGAAAAAAAATAATTATAAAAACAATACTTTGCTGTTCAAGATTATGCAGAAGAGTGTGTATGGGGGAAAATCACCAGGTGAGAGTGAATGGTCATTAGTGATGAGGGGACATCAGCCTCAAAGGTTCTGGTACTGAAGTGGTCACTCACTAAGATGCACTCACAGATTAAAATTTGTAGCAAATCTGTTAAAAGTGTTGCATATGACCCTGAATGTCCCACTGGAGGAACATCTGAGACCAAAACAAACAGTTGCACTGACCACACCTTTGTGTTTCATATACAACCAGAAACTCTGTGTGCACACAGTCCTGCAAAACACGAAGCCAGCCTGCTTCAATGGCAGCTTTAATTACATTTACATCAACATAAAGGCCAAAGTTAAACCAATGTAAACTCTGGCTGACTGAAACTGTACCTACTCTTTAAATGATCAATTGGTCTTGAGGAAAGAAAATATGTAAATCAATGCACTAAGACCACTGTATATGATAGCTTTATTGGACTATGAGTAATCAATACATTTAATAGGTAGCATTTGCAGTATATTAAATCTCTGTATTTTACACAGAACTGAGAACAACAGACTCAGAGCTGCCCGGATTCATCATCCGTATGATGTCAGAAAAACAGAACAGCTATATATCAACTTTATGTCCAGCTTGGTTTGGCTGTTGCTGCTTACTTGAAGGTGAGGCTGGGCATGCCTCTCCATATAAAGTGACTTTGATATTTTGGGCCTCTGTTTTGACAAACTATAACCACAGCAATGTCTTCTTTGACTTCTTGTCTGTTTACAGTTGAGATTTGTGCACATAAGTTGCGTAAATCAAACAAACCAATTTTATTGTTACTCTTTATTTTCTGGGGAGACCAGCTGATGTGCCCGACTGCACTCTAAGGGTGGGGAAAATGTTTGATACAACAGAGCATTGAAATATTTTGCATGGCAATATTGTATCAATACAGGGGCACCAAATATCAAAAACTATAAATGATAACTCATCCCAAGATGAGCAAACTTATATTAAATCAGTTCACCTGAAAAAAACAAAACAAAACAAAAACAAACACTGGACACACTTAGCTTGACAAAGTTGCCCTTTTAATTTAGAACAAGTTAACGGCGCAGTCACACAAGTAAAATATGACAGCGGCCTCCGTACGTCACCAAAAGTCAGAGGCAGCCTGGTGATTGTATTGAATTTTCCCCACGTTCTGCCACATAACCCGTGGTGACTACCCAGAACTTGAGGGCGTTGTACACTCACAACCACTCTGATCTGATTTTAATGCAAAAAAATAATAGATGTGAGACAAGTTTGTCAATATCTTTCTTATCCAATAAGATACTGACAAAGTATAACTTTCTGAACATACTTCGCAGTTGAAAAAAGGTGATGAATCACAGTTTATGTTATTGCAATACTCAGCATATTGCAAAATGTTAAAACAGCTTTATCAATGTTCAAAATGCTTGTTACAAGCTTCAGTGAGAAAAAGAAGAAGCAAAAAACAAAAAATACTGCAGCAGAAATATTAATGGACACGAGTTGGAATGTGTGCTCTGCGTATTACCTGTAGGGATGCTACACAGTAACAGCCAGGCCAGTGCATTTTACGCAGATACAACAACAGCAAACAGAGAAATCTGGAAAACCTATCTAGGAGGAATCAGAGAAAACAAACTCCTTTTTTAAACAGGGAAACAGAAGGTCCCGGGAGATTCAACATAAATCTCAGCCAAGACATGACCAGACTGAAACCAAACCGACGGGGACAACAACCCCTCCAAAAAAGGCAGGATTTAGCATTGCTTCATTCCTTAATTACTGAAACTGAGCCAAATTTTTTGCTTTTTTTTCTTCAGTGTTGCATTTTTGTGGTAAAAATGTGGGGAGTGTGGGATTGTGGTAAAAGAAACGAAAGAATCAAAACAGTAAAAAGAATTGCCCACTGTGCTTTAAATGGACACTGTAGCCACGTTAGCCCAACAAATGTTAATAAAAGTAAACATTGAAATAGTTTATAAGCCTTTTAATAAAGCTGCAGAGGAAGCGTTAAGAGCTTGTAACCTTTTCCTTTTTCAAATAATGAAGAACATAAAAAAAACAAACAAGTTTTTGTCTATGCTTAATTTAAAACTCCAAGTATCTTGGCATCATTTAGCCACACAAATGTCCTAACAAAGTAATGAAAAATATAACCTCCCATAATGGTGGCAACAAAGTCAGATTTAAATATTACATTCAGAAAGCGATGAGTAATCCATGTCACGGTGATTTTAAGCACTTTAACACAGAGGCATGTGTCAAAATCTCTGCTGAGCAGCGGTGTTAAAAATCCTTTAATGGCCACATCACAATGATTCCTGGTAATATGCCGGTCATTTCCCATTCATATGATTGAGGTGCTATTGTTTCAGCATGCTGCCTTTCCTACATACCTTAAGAAACTTCTGACCTGCAATTCACTTTAGAAAAGCGGATTACTCGAACCATGAAACAGTTTAGGCCCTGCACTCCAGCCTGTTAGAAGTATGTTAAATACCCGTCCATACCACTAAATCTGAATAAATGGTCTTTAATGATTCCTTTAAAAAAACGAAACCTTTCTAAAGTACAAAACGAACAGCTTCAATCCTCAAGCAGAACACAGTTTAAGCCTCTCACAAAAGCTCTAAAGTATTTGTTGTTAGATGCAGGAATGTTTTGTCGGTGCCATGTTACTGTTCTACCAGCACATTACTGCCAGTAGTTGAACAACAACCACTTGCAACAAAGTCTCTGTTATCAGCCTTGTTTGCTCAACCTTGCCACTCATTAGCGGACCCCCCTCCCCTCTGGCTGTAAGAATGGACAGGGGAGGTCAACACACTGACCCTGCGTGCCCACTCACTGCCCATACGGCAAACAACAGAGAGTGTGTTCTCCAGATTGCATCACAACGACGCTAACGAGCACAGCCATTGGCCCGAGAGCACTAATGCAATTATGTAACACAATCCCTGGTACTTTGAGTCGGGGATATGGGAGAAAAAGAATGAATTGGATGTGACACTTGGTGGGTTTGTTATCTCAGTCTTCCTATACAGAATTTATGATGTGCTCTGTGTGTAAGGAGAGAGCAATTTAAAAATTAAAAATAAAAAAGTGCATAGAAATCTAATAAAATCAAGAGATGAAGAGAAAACCTTCCTATTGTGTTGTGTTTAGTGAAGGAAGTGCAAAATAACTGGCATCCTACTGAAAATGGAAAATTATATTAGTTGCATTATGTAAGCTCTGTGCCAAAAGCTGCCCGAGGACACATCTGAGCAGCCCCGCTCAACAATACATTTAGGGCTGCCACAGTTTCATGCCGGCTCCTTAAGAATAAGCACAACACACACAAAGATATCTAACAAAAGCTTGAAAACTATTATTCAGACTGCAGCCCACACAACAAGCTAATATAGGCAGAGCTACGAGAAGATAATAGAGTGAGCAAATGAGAGGACAGTGTGACATTAGGCTAAATGTCAAAGCAATTTCAAAGATGAAGCTTGAGCGTTTCCTGACTTGTCATTTTGACGTAATGTAATAGTCAAGCTCCAGCTTTCTGAGTGAAGGAAGAACAACTGTTGTTCAGCTTGGAATCTGAAACATTTTGAGTTTAAAATATGATGTTTGAACTACAAATACCATCAGCCGATGAAAACTATTCATTACAACTTGGTGTGGACTTCATAAAAGCAATATTTTCCTTTGTGCTTGCAGAGGATGCAGAAGTTAGTTTTTCCACATGCTACGAGTAAACACGCCCATCTCGAGGGCGACAAAGTGTGACGAGGTAAAGAAATGTATCCTGAAAATATGCAAACACGTCAGAGAGATGACAACAAAAAGAAATTCCAAATTACAATATGTAAAACAAAGTGTTTACGTCTAAGACTTTGTTAAGACAAACAGTTCAAAAATATATTTTTTGATTTGAGACAGGAGGTACGCTGAAGCGGCAGGGCTATCTGTTGTGCCCAAGATTAAATTCCCCATGCATAGTCTGGATTCCCCAGGTACCAGTGTTAAGTGTCGAGCATGAAGACAAGAGGAACTTGATTAGAGGAGGCGCTATATTTAATGCCATTAGCCGTGACCTTTTAACCTCGAAGCTGGTCAAGAACATTAGAAAAAACTTTTTCCTATTTCCAGGATTCTAGATATTTGCATGAGAGCCTCAAATAAGAGCCTTGCATTCGCTTTGATTCAGTAAAATAAAAAAAATTTCAGCTTTAGAACAAAAAACCAGTAATCAGGAATGCGGAAAAGAAGGGCTGAAACAACAGCCCGGGTAAGCTCATAATCATAACTACCACAAAATATTCTATCCTTAATTTTAAACACAGACACTGCAGAAAAAAAAAAAATCCCTGATTTCATGCCAGATTCATTTAATTTTTCTAATAACACCAGCTTCATAGAACTGCCACTCCACATGACACACATCTAACCAAGCAAATGCCATCAGCTGAAGAAGAAAACTATTCATTACAATGAAGCGTGGACTTTATAAAAGCAACAAAAAGATTTATCTAACCAAAAAACCTTTACAAAAGTATCGCTGACCTCTGCAATCAGTTTTAATGAGGCTGGAATGACGCATATGAATGAAGAAAAAAAAAAAAAAAAAAAAAAAGAGGTTGCCCTGTGACGTTTGCAGGGAACGCACAAAGTGAATGTGTATGTGAGATCCGGAAGAAAACAAATCCAGCCGCCCGTGATACAAACCGAGGCTGGGAACCACCCCTTACTGTGTACCCAAGGGGTCAAGGTGACATTCCACAACACCTCTGAGATTGGCCTAATGGAGGAATTGGTGCATGGCTTTTGTTGAATAGGAAATAAGAAACCATGAAAAAAGGCTGTAACAAGAGACTGAAGTATGTAAAAGGGCCCGAAGAGGGAAAGGATTCTGGGGCAAAAGTTAAGAGGTTACGGAGTTCTTATAAATATATTTACAAACAAACAAATACACAAAAATCTGATAAAGTCATGCTCAGGAAGTTAACGCTCACAACTGTAATCTAAGCTTTTTTTGTGATCCTATTTCTTAGGTGACCGCGGTCAAAACCGCTGTTTTTATTTGACACCATTTCCTCTGTCCACTGTCACAAAAGACAAAAATTCTACTCTTGGGCTATAATTTTTGGTTTTGGCAGCACAGATAAATACTATTCCTTTTGGGTGTTTGGGCTGTAAAAGCTATTCGGATCTCTTTTAATTTAAATCTTTTTAAAGCATCTGTGTTCATAACAAGTAAATATAGACACATGACAACCGAGTAGACAGCGCTGCAATATCTGCGTGCCTTGAAGAGGGTCTTTGAAGAAAGCAATATAAGATATTAGGACAGGTTAAATCCAAAATATCCACACTCGGATTTAAATTTGTTTTAATAAAAATGGTTTTCCTGTGAACGCCAACGAAATGCAATCCTGCCCCACTGCAGACAACAGAGTGCAGGTGCAATGGTCCATCAAGTAAAGTAAATGTAACTCTTACCGTCATAAACCCAAAAGACTGGAGAAGTGCTAAGAAGAGTCACGTATGGCGTTGTGACTTAAAGTCCCCCTGTGCCTTCCACTTTCTCTCCTCTGCTCAGGACAAGTATCTCCTCCCGCTCAAGCTTTAGTCCCAAGATCCCCGTTCAATGCCTGGGAAGCACAGAGACAACAGACCGAGGAGAAAGTTAAGAGACGGAGTCGAAGAGTGGGAGTGACAGGGAAAGAGAGTTGCCTGTTTGGGTGAAGCAGTGATCAGATACGGTTATTTTCAGACTCTGGCATGCTTGTCTTTGAGACTGGAAAGTAACCCCCCGGTGTGGATGGGTGGGGGATAAGTGACAGGCCTGAGTATCTCTATTTTGCCACACACATGTTTGCATGCATGCCACGCAGTATAAGCGCACGCATGCCCATGAAGACAAACTACTTCTAAGCACACGTTCACACAATTCATACATTCCAAAGGAGTCGCAGAGTGATTCTACTGTATGCTACATCAGGTAGATACACCTTTCAGATGTTAGGCTCGCCTGAGGTGTGAGAAGGGTGTAAGAGAACCTCAATGTACTCATCTCCTCCTAACAGGTTTTATGTCACAGTGGCCAGAGTTGTCAGTTTGTGGCTATGTAAAGTGGCAGCATCCACACAGAAACTGACAGGAGTCTTAAATCCTTCTCACATGAGATTTTCTTTCTTTCTTTCCTTTTTTGTTGTGGTCAGCTTGACTTTGTGTCAAGAATGCTCCCTCGGAGATGTGAATATCCAGCCACATAGACATGACATGCAATTGCACTTTTTCTTTTCCCTTTTTAAATCCATGTAAATACATCTTGTACTGTCAATATCATACCAGGCTCTAAATATACAAATTATATGACCACTCACCTGTACCATTAATAATCTTTCCCGCGCTGTAATCCATATGGGACTGTATATTTGGAAAATGACCACACACATGCACACAGACGCCGAATATACACAGGAGAGAGGTCAGCCAGAAGCACCTCTAGACCCCAGACTCCCTGCTATTCCTAGAATGATGATGTAACTACTGCTATTAGCATGTCATATTTAGAGCCTGGATACCTAAAACCAGCCAGGCAGCTACTGTGTAACATGCTATTTGGACAACATCCAACGCATCCACTTAAAACAAGTTTTTAACAATAAACAGAAGAGGCGCAAGAATCCGCAACTTACAAATTAAAGTGCGGTAAAGGCTCGGGCAGAGCCGAGGTGCCACTACAAAAGAAATTAATTAGCTTCCATAAACCAAATCCTGAGATATGACAAAAACAGATGAGATTCATACTACAAACCTTCCACCAAACAGTGGGCGGATGTCTTTAGTTTGCTGTCATTTTAAATGTATTTATCTTACTCTACAGTAGCTGACCAGCAACTATTTTAGTATAAGGCCATAAATTAAAAAAAAAAAAAAAAAGCTTCATAGGCTCTGCCAAACCTGTTGCCAACTTTTAAATCAAACATGGACACAGCTAAGTCTTGATCAACACTCTCTGTGCCTGCTGTCATCATGCAGATGATGAAGTGGTAATGTAAAAATCCTGTCTACATGGGCACGAATGGATCCAGTGACGAGTAGCGCTCCTCCAACTATGTCTCCCAAACACCTAGGCTTCAGACTTTAGGGTTCCTGAAAGCCCCACAGCAGCGATCAGTGTGTCAACAAACATAATCAAACAGCAGTTGCCCCCCCAGAAACATCTCATCATGTGGGAAGGATCACTGAGGTATGGTGAAAAGCTGACAACTGACAGGTGCTAATGATGCAACCTTGAGGCCAAAATCAGGGCAGTACCAGGGGACCAATAAAGTTCTATCATAAGTGCTATCAACTATAGACTTAATCTTGTAACCTGGCATGACAAACACAAGCAGCAGGATCTGCATCACACATCAAAGCAAACAGATTTTTGACCACATTCCTTACTTGAGATCATATTTTGGCTCTTCTAGGTGTGTCCTACTTAGTGCTGCATGTGGAAGAATGATTTATAAGACAATTTAAAGTAAACGGACAGAGCAGCAGCTTAGTAATGATCTTATTAAAGTACCAAAGCAAACTATTTTTATAGTGACTGACACAAACTCACACTCAAACGCACCGACACTTTGACCTATGAGCCACTCTGGACTACAGTAGCCGTGTCGACATGCTCTCACCCGTACAGTTTCAACACCTAATTCATTATCAGCTTCTCCAAGGCCCTGCCATTCCCAGTTAAGTAAGTGGTAGGATATAAAAAGCAGAAGAGCTGCGCATGTAGTAAGTGTCACTTACTGGAAAACACTTAAATCTGAAGATCAAAAAAGGAAAAGCATATTCACAAAGCAGCGTGCTCTTTAATAGAGATATAATAGTTTAATAATATTTGTTTTTCTACAAACTTTTTTTAACATGTATTACATAACTGGTGTTCTGAACTCCTTCAGTATAACTCATACATTCAGATCTGGCCATTTTTGAGTGGCCAAGTACTGTACTGGTTGGCCCTCTCAAAGACGATTCTAGATTTGAACCAGCTGGTCTGATGGGGGCATTTGCGTGATGAGTTTGCACATTCTCCCTGTCCCCGTTTGGGGTTTTGTTCAGGTTGCTCCAGCTTCCTCTCACAATTCAAAGACACAAATACTAGGTTGGTAGATAATTCTAAAATTGTTATATGTATGAGCGTGCATGTTTGCCTCATGTGGTAGCCCTGTCTATGACGGTATAGTGACTTGCTGAGGGTGTGCCCTGCATTTTGCCCTTTGTCAGTGGGGTTAGGCCTCAGCCCCTAATGATATAGGGATACACGGGGCTTAATCTGATGTATGACAAGCTGGATGTGACCACACCAAGTAACTGTGGTGTTGCACGGGCTTTTGGTCCACTTTTCTAGATTTACCATAATTTGAAAGCACCTGGCAGGACTTGAATAACATGAAGTGTAACAGAGGTATAGCAGGCCCACTCAGTGTACTCAGAGGCTTAGTGTTTCTGCTGTTTAACAAAGCTGGCTGTGTATTACTTTCTGTGTTTAGCCTTTATATTTAGAAACCCGTGGTTGTTCTTACAACCACTGAAATAGATTAAAAGGCCTCATGACTGAAATAGGATTGACGTGCAAGGATTAAATTAGGGAAAGATCTTGGCTGGAAATACAGGTGAAGATATACTTGTCAACTTGCAGTGTAAGTTTTTAGACTTTTAATTTTCCAGATACAGTATAATTTGAACATCCCTAGCGGTGTATAGATGCAGAGGTTTTTCACAAAGCCAGAAAAATGTGTTCAAGTCCATTTTATAAGATCAGATATTGCCATTTTTACACATTTGATTATTACACATCACATACATATGCACAAGTTTGCCACTAAGCAAACCATATTGGGTGGGATTAAGGTCCCTGTATGGTCATCCGCAGGTGCAACAGAGGCTGGCTGACCTGCGTCTGTGTGCTGTCGCTGTGTACTGTCTCCAGGGGGCAGTGTAAAAAATATGTGGAACAACCGGTAATGTGGGCTCTTGTTTGCACTCATGTTAGTCATTTTGGTTTGGCCACTGTCAAGTCATGATCTACTAGAACGTCTCTACAATGGAGTAGGACTAATAAAGAATCAGAACTGTCCATCACAGCCATTGTTTGTGTTTCCTATCCATGCTTCTTTCATCTCTGTTGTTTTTTGCTTTTCTTTGTCTTTGTGGTAACTCAACTACATTGCACACCACAATCAGCATTTGGCCTCGACAGCAGCTTTTTGGGGCCGTCTCTGTTGCACAGCCAGATAACTAAGCAAAAATGATTCCAATGCAGGACCGTATCAAGTCTTTTTTTGTGCTACAATGTGTTGCTTATTTGTCAGAATAAAGTATCTCTGGTTCAGTAACAAAGAATTACTGATTACTGTGCAAAAAAGAGGATTTCTTTAGATAAAAGTGGCACAGCAGATGAGATTTAAAAAAAAAAAAAGTCATCAGCATGACACTTTATGATGCACGCTACAGGACATTGTTAATGGGCTCTGGGAGCAGGCACACACCACTTCTCAAACACTACTTCAGCCATGACATCAGACTCTGGAGAAGGGCACAGTGAGGGGGAGATAAAGGAGGAAGCAGAGCAGAGGATACAATGAGAAAAGAGAGGGCACCAAAACAAAGAATAGACATGGGAAAATTAAAAATGAGTGTGAGAGAATGATAGAGTGAAATAAAGGCCACTGTGATAGTAACCCCCTCTGCTACATTCTGTACTTTCAGAAGAAAATGTATCACATTCGCCCATTCCCTGACAACCTGCCTTGATCCTCTTTCTTTCTCTCTCCCTCTCGGACACACATGCACCACACAGCTTCTCTCCCAGTAACTCTAAACTAGCAGGTGCAACTGAGTTAGCAACAGAGACACTTAGTTTTGGGCTCTCTGGCCATTAATCAAATCAAAAATGCTATGATTGCTCATTATGAGTGTATATTTAAGTCCCTGTTATTGGTCCTCTGCGAAACAGTCAGTAGCCAACTGTTGCTCGTCACACTGCATCCTGCCCGCTGCTTCCTCATCAGAGACAGAAGTGTGTAGTCACAGAAATACAAGAAAGACAACATCAGAAACACCGGCCAGTATGGCCTAAGGCACACACACACACACACACACACACAGCAAAAGACACTCACAAGGCAGGTAGAAAGGTAGGCCTCACTGGGAGTGGTATGTGGTTCCCGGAGTGATAGTGTTACAGTCTGTGCATCCTGGACACATCCCCATTTTCCCTGCTCATCCAGCATTCATATACATCTTACGGATACTATCCGTTGCCCCTCATTACATCATCCGTTTAACCAAGTTAGAAGACTGGACAGAAAAAGCTGTGTTATCCGTTTTATTTTTGTTTGCTTGTTTTGAACTGGGACAGCAATGGCTTTGAGGAAGTCAGACAGCAAGGCAGCAGATGAGTTTTCCTATCTGCATAGAGACTGACTGATAAAGCTTTAATGGCAGATGAATGTGAACTCAGGAAGCAGGAATAAGGAAAAACTGCAACTCAGTGATGACTGTAGGGTGGCCCTGCGCAGAAGCATTGCTCTACATATTACACACAAGATGAAATGAAAGAATTGCAGGGTAACAGTGTTACTATTATCATCATAAAACCAAACTCAATAAGTTATATGTTCTTCGTCCAGTTAGAAAATAAATATCTGCTATACGCTTATATCCTTTTTTCTTACACATACGGGAAACTGTATTGACCAATGCACAAGTGCAAGCTAACAATAGAGATTATCCTAAGCGTTTAAGATCTAGGTTAAACGTGGATATTTCAGTTCATGTTTACAACTATCAGGAGGCTGCATGTTCTTCCCACACTGCTCTCATAATGTCGGTCCTTACGGTTTTAGAAATATTCTTTGTAAAGCTTAAAAGCTTGTGGTTTCGTCATTTATCATCCTCCCAGTCCCAACCGCATCTTCCTCTAATGCACTGGAGACACCAGTCCACCGGAATGCACTTTAAATGGAAACCGAGTCGACCCGACCGCATCCCGGATAAGCTAATTCATTTTCTCGAGTTTCGTCAATTACAACTGCAGGGTCATAACTGCTTGTAAGGCAGTTAAAACAACCCAAATAGCCTTGTTTACCAGCTCTAACACCACGAAATTAAGCCGAGGGTCAGATCTAGTGCTGCTGCTGCTGGTGCAGCTGCTAAAAGCGACGCGGAGGGAGAGATAAATATATAGCCCCCCTGTGTTTTTTAAACAACAAACTGGTAGTGTGTACTTACCTTAACACAGCTGCCACCTCACCGGACAAATTCCCGAAACATGTCTAATAACATGTCTTTTCCATATAAAACGAGTGAAGTCCTCGGACAGGCGCAGAAGTGACACACACCGTGAAGCTACGGCGGCTTCGGGAGCTACTGTGTGATGAAACCGTACACCTGTTTTCAACGCGCATGGATGTTGTGCCAACCTTGACTGAAGGCTACTCCCTCTCTCCCGGGGGGTCACTGGGCCTCGGACAGCAATGCGGTGAAAATAACCTGTCCCCTCTCCTTAAGACACTCCAAGGAGAAGGCGGCACAATTAAGTTACCGCCTGCCTTTCTTTCTCGACTACATGCGCGAGCCGCGCCGCAGTCCCGACCCTAGCGACTCTGGAGAAGAGAAGCGGCGTCAGTCCAGAAATGGACCGGCTCTGCCTCCGTTTCCGTTTTTCGTTATTAGTGAATGATGTCTTGGCTTCGTTCGCAAAATGGCCTCTGTTATTTTCATTCAGCAACAGTCTACCGCGAGCTTCTCATTGGGTCTGCGTGTAGCCATGGCAACGCCCGCGGTTCAATCAGTGTTTGCAGAGGACACACACAGCACACGGGAGGCCTGTGTACGGCTCACCAACAGGAAAGTGTCACTTTGCCTTCTATCTGCAGCAGAAACACACAATAGACTGACCTCAGATATGAGGCGGGGTGCTGACGGTTTGTTTTAATGGTTAGACCATGACACAGGCTAAGGCTCGAAGCCTAAATAAGAAATGATTCATAGATGTTTGCTAGGAATAACTTTGAAGCTGTGTTAAGATTTATATCTATGCTGTCCTGGTAGCATTTTGTCCATCACCATGCTTGTAGGTTTAAATGAGTTCTTTTAGCTACCATGTCCCTACCGTGAGCTGTAGGTATTTGCTTCTAGATACATTTGTTTCTACTTTTTATTATTATTATTTGGCAGCGAAATCTTTTAATTATCAGGAAATACTCTGCTGTGATAGTGTGGGTTTATTTGAGTGCTGACCATAAACTGTATATAAAAGATGCACATGTCCACTATGACATCACCTGGTCATAAGTTTGACATTTTGGCATGCACCATCTAGGTTTTTTGATGATCATATTTGGATATTAGTTTTGAGCTCTGTGTCATCAGCTAATGCTAGCTACCTGTTTTGCGGTTTGGAAAAGGCCTTGGAGGGGACTGGCGTCGGCTCTTGGGATGGGCAGATACACATGCACTTGTGAGAAGTGAATAAATTGAAAAAGAGAGGGAGGGTGAGGAACAAAAATGAGAACAAACTCGTAGCTTGTAGTGCAGGGGCGTCATATATAGATATATAGACAGAGAAGCAGAAGGGGAGTGTACGAGGTGTGGTCCTGCATTTGAAATTTAGATAAATTATCTAAGGTGAGATCTAGCAGAAAGCCAGCAGCTACAGATGCTCAAAGTGGCTACACTCTTCATGCATGACTTTAGGCCATAAAACAATTAAAACAGGTCAGTTTTAATTGTTTTATACGCTCACTGGCTAATGACTTGTCAGTCACATAATATAATCCTCCTCTCTGACACCAGACTTTACAAAACGGACTTAAGGTTTTTTTCATTATGCCCCAAAACATGCAACACAAGTCAGTTTTTACAGAGGTAAAGGGAGAGTGCTGTTATCTCATAGATTTCTGTAGGATCTGAAGCCTTTTATGCAACTACAGGTGTCACCCCCTGGTGGCTGTTAGAAAAGAATGCCTATTTAGGGCACTGCTGCATTGGCTTCACTTTGGAAGCTAAGTGCATTTCCCCCAGCCCCATCCGAACACACCCAGCTATTAAATAATATATAAACTTGATCTACTATAGGCCTTTATAGCCAACAGAAGATATTCTTTATGCACATTTAATAATTTGTCTTTAATGTGTCCAATAATATCTATCTATCTATCTATCTATCTATCTATCTATCTATCTATCTATCTATCTATCTATCTATCTATCTATCTATCTATCTATCTATCTATCTATCTATCTATCTATCTATCTATCTATCTATCTATCTATCTATCTATCTATCTATCTATCTAATTTAATACCTCTTTGTTGTGGCTGGTCTATTTATCTATTTAGGTCTCAGTGTAACAGAGACATAGACTGCAGATGTGTTGTAACTCTAAAGTGAAAGTAAGCAGCTTTTGCTCATAAATTCTTAAAAACCTTTTGAGGGCCATTAGACATGGTCTAGCGAGTTGATACAGAATCACACACAAAGCCAAAAATTTGAGTTGTTCTAATTTTCTAGTAATATGGAAATTATTGAAAACATTATATGCAGGGTTTTCATCTTTAGATGCCAAATTTATGTTTAAACTATGTCTGAATTTGATTTTCAAGTGAGTTTCTTTACTATACTGCACATTTCTGATACATTTTCACTGTTTAATGCTTCAGTAAGAGTGATTATTATTTGTGTCATCTTATAACTTCAATCACATTAACAGCATTTCATCAGCAGCGTTAAAGCTGAGGTGTTATGTTTCCGTTAGCACATCCATAAAGAGCCCTTTCTTCTGTCAGCTTGAAAGCTGTACGAATTTAGAGCATTATTGATGGCTGACCTTTGTGAGGTGTCAGCAAGACCACATCTGTTAGTGTGTATGTGTGCATATGTGTTTCTGTGAGCGCGCGTGTATGCAGGCATCTGCTCGGTCTTTTATCACCAGCACTCATGTGCTGTAAAAGCAGCCCTTACTGTCTGTTACTGTGGTCAAGAGGGTTCCTTTTTATAGGTGATATGTTATCCGCTGGCATACTATCAGGCATGCATTCTTACAGGGCCAGGGAAGACGATGATGATACATTGTGTCTGGTATGCAGAGATCCACAGGAGGTACAGGTATAGACATACCGAGGGAAGAGGCTATGGACTTTAAAGATTCAAGTAATAGAAATGAAATAACTAGGCTAGAATGCCCACCTGGTGGTAGGTTTCAGCGAGTTTCAGCGAGTCTGTGTAAATTGTAGCCTCAGTTTCCTGTTCTTAGCTGACATGTGTTGGTGCTTTTAGGTTCAATGGGCTGTGTGCCCTGAGATGCTGTTCTGCATACCTTGGCAGTAACAAGTTGTTATTTTGACACAGTGTAGCCATTCTCATCTGAACCTCTGGGATCAACAAAAGCATTTTTTTTCCAGCTCGGTGGATTTCTTTTTGCTCTTTCTCAGACCACTATCTATAAACCATAGAGATGGTTGTGTGAGAAAATCCCAGCAGATCAGCAGTTTCTGACGTAAGCCAGTAGCTTAACCAACCTCGCCACATTTAAAGTCACTTAAATCACCTTTCTTTAAAGCTTTGAGCTTCAACAGAACATGTTGACATGCTTAAATGGACTGAATTACTGCAATATGATTGGCTTTTTTGATATTTGGAGATGAACAGATGTACTCAAACAAAGTGGTCAATGAATATAATTGCAAGAATCCTTACCAGTCTCCACTGACGTTCAAGAATCATCCTCAGTGCGGGTGGCTCTCATAGTGCATCGTTCATTTAGTAAAGTCTTAACTGCATTCCAAATACTGACATTAAATACAAGACACACTGAAGCTGGCCACAGCCAGGAGACAACACGCTGCACGTCACACAGAGTATCCCTGTACCTAACCTTTAAACAACTGCAACTGTTTCATTTTCTCATGATTACAGCTACATCATACTGTAGAACTCATTCTAAATAAAATACATAAAAGTTCCCACAAGACACCCTCATAATCTACTGATGTTTTTATATAAATAAATGTATATAAATAAATATATAGCCCTAACATACAGTGTATACTAAAAGCACCCTCGCAGTCTCTCTCAGAATAGCCCACGGGACAAAGGACAGCAGGGTGGCACACTGATCTTGTGAGAAAATGACTCTTTTTATCTGAACAGTGGCACTCTGTCACATCTTTCAGTCATCGCTATCCAAAGAGATCCACATTTGGAACAGCTGATACTGAGGTCCACTCGTCTGGCCAGTGTTAAAGAAGTGGTACAGAATGAGTGCATGGCGTATGAGTACAGGAGGACATTGTCTGGGAATGACATCATGCTACTTTCACTTCTATTCCTGACTTACTTTGATGTCTAAGAGCTGAGCAGGTGAAATGCCAAAGCAGATCTGTAAGAGGGCGATGATGTTGAAGTCTACGTCCTCTCTCTGTTTAGCAGAGTCATTAGAGACAGCTCAAGTATTAAAGTAAATCTTTGACCCCCTAACTTCCATTTGCTCTTATTTATTTTACCCAGCGTGACTGCAGTTAGTCAGATAACTATCTTAATCAAGCTAGCTGTGTTTTAGCTGTGTTTTACTTGGTCAAGAGTCAGTTTCCACCTTACACAGATAGAATAAAAAGGGGAAAAAAAATCTTTCCGCCTCCCATCAATCATCCAGTGGATGGTATAATTTACCGTGAACCCAGCACTTTGGCTTCTGCCCTGCTCCTGTGCTGTAATCAGTCAGAAAGAGTGAGCATTGCCCAGTGTGAAAGCCAGTGTCACTCATGACTCTTCAGTTTGAATAAAGTATTGCTCTTCCAGTGCTTTGACAGATGTTAAGGAAACGCTGATGCAGCAGAAAAAAAATGGTGCATGAGAGAAGTTCAGGAATACCAGAGAATTGAAATATAATAGCAATATAAAGGACTGTGAAGAGCTCAGAGGACGAGAGGGGAACCAGAGGTTGATGCCATAATAACAAAATTATACTTGATAGCATGTTGCTGCATGCAGAAATGTAATTGAATTAAATTATTTTGCAGACATGTGAAATGTTGAGCATAACCAACGCACACTATCATGTTTATTATATTTTGAATTAATTAAACAGATTACGCATTTCAGCCTTTTTCCTCGGCCATAAATTCTCACCTAGGCTCACTCGGAGGCAGATTCTCAGACTCTTATTGCCATTTGGATGATAAAATCAATCATGGCTCACTTTTTGTAGCATACTGCTACAAAACCGCTGCCGACTCGGTTTTTGATATTTTGCAATTACCAGTAATCCAATAGTGCTGAAGATGTTTGGCACAGTCAGACTGGAGGCAGAGGGAAAAGAGGCAGGACTAAATTAATTTTCTGCAAGATTTCCCATGCACGTGTTTTCAGTATTGTAATAGATCTCCCAAATGAATTTGCTGACTCAGTGGCTTTAATAATCTATCTGTAGCTGTTTGGAAATGCTCCCGGCAGTGTCTTTGGTCTGCTTGCGGTGTTTGTGAAGTCTTCAAAAAGTCCACTAATCAATATGTCCTATAACAACAACGGATAAAATGACTATGTGTATTGTGTAAATTGCCAAAGCTACAGATTGTTAGACCTGACTCTGCAGTACTATTGAGCTTTTTAGGCTAATTTCACTAATTGTTTTGATGGTACTGTCCCCAGGTTCCACTCTCATAAACTCATCTTACAGGGAACTGTTTTCATTCAAATAAATGAATAGAATAAAACAATACTGGACTTAACTTAAAACACAGAAGCCAAAGCAATCTCTATTTCTGAAGAAGCTGAGGTCTTTTAATATTTGTTGGATGATGCTCAGCATGCTTTGAGTCTGTGGTGTCCACGGGCAGCAGACTGA